TACGGTCTTGTGAGCGAGGAGTTTATACCTATATACATATGAAGATAGGTGATAGCATGAGCCACATCAATCGCAATGTCTAGACGAGAAGCAAGGTCCAAAATGTTCCCTCGAATGCCTGCAATATTCCTTTTGATCAAGTTACAGATACATTTAAGTTGGCGAAAGAAAATAAATTACAGGTACACTTAAAGTTTATGGAAGTGGCAAGGAAAAGACAAAACCACATGAGAATAAAACAATAAAAGGAAACTCACAATCTAAATGCTCTCTAAGGGTTCCATTTGGGACATACTCCACAACAAGAATTCTTTCATCTCCTTGCTCTAAATATCCATAGAACTTGACCAAATTCAAATGTTCAACCCGTGATAACGTTTGGATCTCACTCTGGAACTCAACACCCGAATGCTTCTCATATAAACTCTGCAAAGCAAGGTAATTAATTAGTAACTTTCACTAATAACTAAGACGATGCTCAAAATGGTGACACAACCAAGCAGAGAATGCTGAATAAGAACAACCTTTTTGGCACGCTTTACTGCAACAACAGTTCCATTCTGGAGATTTGCCTTGTACACTGTACCAAAACCACCTTGACCGACCTTGTAAGCGGGGGAGAAGTTTCTTGTGGCTTGGAAGATACGCTCCAGGGTGAAATTCAGAGGTCTAGGATCATTTCCCTGAGTTGACTTGTATGAACTGGAACTGATTCGTCTATTTGAACTATGCGTTCTCTGACTACCGGTTCCCGAAGAATCAGATACAACTAAGAAACAAACAGAATTTATTATTATGAAATAATCATCCTGCCCGCTTGAAAATTTTTCTGATCAGATACTGAGTCATGCAATTGTATTGGATGCCCTACCAAATTTGTGAAAGTAATGGAGGAGGGCATTACTACACTGTCCCATTCAGCTCGAATGCCTCTCTCAGCTAGCAGAAAATGCAAACCTAAGTTCAAGTGTTATGTTATTGCTTGCGCATAGCAGAGAACAGAGAGGGTTGTGGGGGGTGAGTACAGAGTATTACTTAAAAATTGATGATTTGATGATAGAGGGCCCAGGATTTTGCTCACCAACAAAAGAAACATGCAAGCTAGGATTATGAATCGAAGAAATTATTCACTCAAGTAGGAACCCTATTAACAAGGGATTCACAAGAGCTACTACCTTAGATATGCTTATTTGATCATGATACCCACAAAAAGTATCAACACAACCAACCAGTCTTCACATTTCTACAGTTTTCTCACTAGCCAACCAGTATATACGGCTTCGAAATGGAAACCTCGAAACTAAGAAACCAGGGTCAAAATTCAGATCCAAGACACGCACAGAGAATCACTAACAGCTATCAACAAACAGAATCCCAATTTTCCCCTGTATTGCACAATACAAACTGAGAAAAGGAAACTACCGGAGGATGAAGAGGAAGCTTTGAACTCCTGAGAATCCACGAAGCTCCTGGAGTTACTCTCATCCGGTGGGGTGAAGCAACCAACAAAAACCGCAGCCACTGATCTGGCCGCAACCGCGACTGGGTTCCAAGAGGAGTTTGACCTGTGGATGGTGACACTGGAGGAATCATAGCTGGAGGAGTAGATATGGCGGTGTTCGGGTGTGCTGTAGCCGGAGCCGGAACTCTGGCGACGTGAACGGGAACTTGGCCTTTTCATTTGGCGGGGACAATTGGCGTGGAAGCATTAGCTGTAAGAAAGGAGACCTTCGGTTCTTCAACTCTTCATTCAAGTGCCGAACGTCCTCTTGATAATAATGGCAACGACTTTCGCCTTTCAACTTGCAAGAAATTAAAATATGAATTGTATTTCTTCAATACACTATAAGTATAAATTATTCTCTTTTTTATTCTACAAATATTTTAGATCATATAACTATTTCTTATGAATACAAATACGCGCAAATATCTTTAACTAGATATTTTTTTGATGAAATTTACGCATCATTTTTTTAAAATTAAAACTTTGAAGTTGAAAACATATCTTGAACTCAAGGTTTGAGGCGGTATACTAAAAAATGTATTATTGAGAATATTATATTTGAGGTTGATATGTGAACATAAAGAAATGTATTGTTGCTTTCACCAAAAAAAAAAACACGAAATGTATTGTTGTTTCTTTAAAAAGAGAAAGAAAGTTTATTAGTATTATTGATTTATTTAATTATGATAAATTTTACTACTTCCAGTCCTAATTGTAAGACCCAGTTGACTTATTTGAGGAGATTAAGGAAGTAAGTTAAGTAAGTTATTTGTAATAAATAAGTGTTGTCATTCCTAAAATATCCTTACTAATTAAGTATATTGGCTAGAACTATCATTATTAGAAGAACTATCTTGAAAAAAAATACATAAATATGATAGACAGAATGGATTGGGATCTTATAATTAGGACCAAACAAAAAGTCAAACAGAGTCTTTTATATTAAGGACCGGAGGTAGTATAATCTTTAGAAGTTGGGGCCTGGAGGACCCTACCGGCCACCGTCCAGCGTGTTACGTGTATGTTACGGTTGCGGTCAAGAAGGGAAGGCGGTGAGTGAAGCCGTGCGCTGGCCGATAGGGACTCTTGACTCTTGTATGTGTGTACTGGGTTATAGGGAAACTAAGAATTTTATGCTTAAACAATCATTTTATAACTCAGATGCTCATTATATTTTATATAAAAAAAATTTGAATTTACCCTCTTATACTTAAAAGAATTAAGAAAAATATTTGGCATCATCAAACTATAACAACTCGACATTCTTGAAAAGTTGAATTAAAGGGTGAGTCAAAATTGGGAAGGAAAAACAAATTACCGTGATTTTTTTAATATATTGAATTGGAGAGATATTATTGAAACTATTCTTAATAAAATTAATTTGTTGTGTATTTTATTTGAGAATTATTTTTAAAATAAAGAATTTTCCTGCACCCACATCACGGCTTGTTTCCCTTGATAGTTGATAATTAATTATACTGAGTCAAAATATTCATTCAAAATTTTATCCGCTTTCCTCTCTCTACTTCAAGAAATGAAATTATCAATTTTAATTATTTAATCCTAAAAATAATTAATTAAAGGGTTAATATAATCTTTAAAATATCAAATTTATCTTCATTTTGTTTTCAGTCTCTCAAGTTTGAAATTATAAGTTTTGATTTCTCAAAGTGTAAAATGATTCAAGTTTTTATTGTGTTAACAAATATTAATATTTTAAATGAAAAAAATTGAGGGACTAAAATTAAAATGAAGTCAAATTTGTGGGCAAAAATTTCAAAAATTAAATTATAAATGAAGTCCTTATAATATTTTTAATCTCCAATTGTTTGCTCAATTATCGATGTTAATCTTTTTGCTTATAAAACTCGGAGATACCGTTAGTTTAAGCTGACGGGGGATGATGTGGCGCTTCAATACAATTTGACTAACTCGCACCGTAAAAGATTGCCACGTGGATTAAACACATCGACAGCACGTGGTAACCGGAAATACACATGTTCATGATTCTGCAGCAATTCCATTAATGAAACCCCCTTGCTGTTTGGCTTCCCCTTTTTTAAAAAAATTAAAAACAAATGACCAAATAGCAATACTCTGCTATTAGATTATAAAGATATTTTCTTATTTTAGACAATCATGTCCAAGATGCTGTCGGACATCAAAATGTGAGTACTTCTTCTAATACAAATTCAAATTTTGATTTGTTGTATTATAAGAGATTAGAACCACCGTAGGTAGGAAAACTGTTATAGTGTAAAGAACAATTTGCCAAAATTATTTTTCTTGTTTGTTGTTTCCAAAGAACAGGAAATTGCTCTCAGAATAGGATTCCAAACAAGCCCCGTTACCTCTCTGGTATTTTCCCTTGAAGACAAAGAAGCTCATGAGGAAATTGAGAAATGGAGGACAGGAGGAGAGCTATTAGCGTCGTAGATGCCTAACGTGGTCTTTGAGGGGAAACTTCAACAAAGACTCTCAAAAGGCAAAACTCCCCCCCCCCCCCGGGCATTCCCCATTAATTTATGCCTGGCCCTCCTCTTTCTTCTTACTTTCTTTTTCAGTTTCTTTCCCTTTTTTGGTCGGGGCCATCCTTCTTCTGTTTCCCCCAAAACTTAATTAGTTGCAAGTGAGATGGGGATCAAATCATGTGGCTTTGATTATAAGTTAAGTGGTTCCGCTGGTAATATGCTGCAGCTTTAACACTGTATTAGCATTGTGCTCGAAGCAACGGTGTTTCATTTTCGCATGGGTTTGTTATATACTGGGATTTTCTTACATGAAATTTATAATGGACAATTTTGTTGCTATAAATAATCTATAATTTATAAACTCAATCCATCAATATAATTACAGCAACACAAGCCTTGTACGGTTATTTCATTAGGCAGGATTACTTACATAAAATACTTAACATCATGGAACTTTATTAACTATCTTCTTAGACATGTTATTTATCATAAGATCTGGTCTAATGACTTCTTTTATTGTTTTTCTTGAATTTTATTGCACTTTTTTCACTAGATATAGGGAAAATGACAAGAAAGTACCTAAAAAGTAATCCCAAATAATGTTTGTTGCCTATACTTCAATAAGAATTTCCCCTCTAATGCATATGCTTAACAAGAGTATTTTAAGAAAGATAATATTAATTTATTACAAATAACTAATTAAACTAAATTTCTTAATATTAAAAATTAGTTATTTAACTCTTATATTAAACATTATAGTATTAGTTTAATAATCAATATAAACTCATAAATTACTAGAATTGCAGTGAAAGTTACTGAAGTTATCTCCATTAGTCACCGATAGATACATACATAAATACAAAAAAGAAAACAACTAAATTGAGGGTGATCCCTTTTGATGATTGCTTCGGAAGTAGTTTTTGAAATGATCGTTCACAATTAACTTAAATTAGTTATTTTTTTTAATGAAATACAATTATAATTAGTTTAGGTATGTATTCTAATAATTTTCCCAGCTCTACAAATTATACAATCCAAACGCCATCTTCTTTCATTGTACTTATCAACATTGCTAACGTAGCATGCACTTCTAGAGCTTCAGGGTGGGATCTATCACAAGACACAAAGAAACTAATCTCATTACCAATCTCTATCCAGCTACAACCTCTGACCTTTGAACTGCACCTTTCCTCCATCTTTCTGCGCAATCTTTCCACTTCACACCAACGCTTGTAACAAGCATAAATATTGGACATCACAGTGTAATTCACACTCTTCTTTGGCTCTATCATCAACAGCTTCTGTGCAGCCCACCTAGCCAGAACTATCTGTTCATGTACTTTGCAAGATCCAATAAAAGCTCCTAATGTGTTTCCCTCTGGTTCAATTGGCATAGACCTTAAGAACTCAAAGGCCTCATATATATACCCACATCGTCCGAGAAGGTCCACTATGCAGGCATAGTGCTCTGTTTCCGGCTCAATCTGATACACCTTCGTCATTAGTTTTAAGTAATAAAGGCCCTTGATTACTAGCCCAGAATGAACACAAGCAGAGAGAACACCAAGAAATGATATTTTGTCTGGTTTTATGGCACAAGATAACATCTTCTCAAATGTCTCATTTGCTTTTTGGGCAAGACCATGAAAGGCATATGCATTTATCATTGAAGTCCATGAGATAACATCAGGTTGTAGGATGGACCTGAAACATTTATATGCACAAGCAATAGTGCCACACTTGGAGTATGCGGTTAACAAAGAATTGCTTACAGATATAGATTCCTCAAGTCCTGATTTGATTGTAAGAGCATGAGCTTGCCTGGTTTCAGTAATAGAAGAGGCATACCCACATGAACTAATGGTGCTGGAAAGAGTCAAGTCATCAGGGTGAGTTTCTTCCCTTAGCATATTTCTAAGAATCTCCATGACTTCATTCCCATGTCCACACTGTCCACACCCAACAATCAAGGTGTTCCAAGACACCACACTTCGAATTACCATCTTGTCGAAAACACGTAGAGCATCGGTTATGTTTTCATGTTTGGCATAGATGTTGATCAGAGCGGTAGCCACTGAAACATCAGAATCAAATGACTGTTTAAGGATAAGACTGTGAATCTGCCTTCCAGAGTCATAACAATCAGAAGCGACACATGAACTTATAAGACTACTATATGTGAACTCGTCGCCTTTTACGCCTTCCAATCGCATCAAGTTGAAAATGGCCCATGCCTTCAGGGGTAAACAATTCAAAGTGTAGCATGAGATCATCACATTCCACATAACCAAATCTTTAAACCGAACACAACTAAAAACCAACCTTGCATTCTGAACTAAGCCACGTTTTGCATAGAAATCAACAAGAGCACTGCCAACAAAGCAATCCAAATCCAATCCCAGCTTCACTGTGAAACAATGCAATTGCGTACCCATGTCAATATCATTCAACTGAACGCAAAAGCCAATCAAACTGTTAAATGTGGTAAAATCAGGAGCCGTTTCCATCACCATCCTTTTAAAATAAGAAAAAACCAAGTATGGATTCAAGCCATTGCAAATACCAGAGTCAAATATACCACGAATCGAAATGTTCCAGGATACTACATTTCGCACACGCAATTCCTCAAACACCTTTTCTGCGTCTGAACTTTCCATACATTTGAAATACGTATGCAAGACCTGATTTTGTAAAGAAAGCACACTGGACAATCCAGACTTGAACAAATGCCCATGTACTTGTTTAAGTTCAGAAAGAATTGCCCTTTTCGCACAGGTTTGAAGGATGCTACAGCTAAATAAAAACACCGTGTTGAAATCCCTGGAATGGGTTTGATCAGGAACTGGCACTAAAGCTCTGCATCTACTAACGGAGGGAGATGCAGTGGTTTGAATCAGTGGATGGAACTGATATGAAGAATAACTATAGTTTTGAGCGACGATTACGAAAAACGGGCTTGGTTTGAAATGGAGAATTGGAAGTGAAGGTGGAAAGAATTTGATTCTATGAAGATCATAAATTGAGGACCCAAGCATAGTACGAATTTTCATGCCATGGATTTTTTAACATCTGAAATGCCCAAATGGTGGTCAGTTAGACTTGTCAACAAGAAAACAAATCCAGAACTGATGTGAAACTCGGCTATAGACAACAGGATTGATATCGACCATAAATATTTATTAAGATAACCAAAGAAAAAGTCTAACAACGTTTTATTTGCCGTCTTATAATTGAGAGGAAGAGGAATTATTTTATCCATTTCAATAATTGGCCTCGGAGTCTGCACAATAATTTTATATTCCTTTTCTTTTGTATGATATTGGAGAATCTTTGAAACATCTCAATTCTTATTTATAAATGTAAGTTGTGTATATGATTTTTCTGAAGACTATTTTAAAATTAGAAATTTAAAGCATTAGATTTTTTTTTTGAGGGAATGACAGAAAAAAGAAGTTGGAAATTACAAATCCCAAATCAGTTTTGGTAACACAGCTTTATTTAATATTAATAAGTATGAATTTGCAAATGATAATAAATGTTTATTAACATTCCTTATTTGGTATTTATAAAATTTCAGCTTTTTTTTAAGGCAGAAATGCAAATATAAATTGTTTCAATTTAGCCCCATAAGAAAAAGTTTGGGCTGGGCCTGTTCGCTTTTAATAGGTAACGTCTGAGCCCAACAATATGAACGATGGACCCAGTTTCCGAGCTCCGTTTTGTGCGTTTCGGTGTTTCCTTCTTTCTTTCTTTGAATTTCTTTTTGGGTGCAGATCAATTTCAAACCTGTAATTTTTTTGCCAACTAAAAATTGCGTGTTGATTTAATTATAATATATTTTTCCGGCCAAAGAAACTTAATTACTATTATAATATATTTTATTGTTATTTTCTTAAGAAATTACCGGAACTTATTTTAATGGGGGAGGTAGCATGTTATGTTAAAAGATTGATTCATTTGTTTTATTGTATATTCATAATATCAAGGTTATTTATCTGTTTGCTTATTATTCATTATCATCCTTGTTACTAACCTCTCTGGAAAGTCTCGATAAAATTTAATTCAATTCAGAGAACTTATAACTTCTTTTAAAATTATAATAATAAATGGAAAAGGAATAATGAGAACCGAAAAGGTGGATATTATAAAATTGGTAGATTGAAGTAGGTGAAACAAATAATCAAACATATCAATTTATAGAAATAGAGAACCACTTTGAGGTCTTTTCAAGGATGGTCACTAACCAACAATAATGAATACCTAAATACTATAATACAATGTGCTGTCCCAACCATATCAATTTGGAGTTCAACTAAATTACCTTCTAATCATCACTGTCTTGTCTCCAAAACATTATTGAAAAATACAAAGGAACTAGCCAAACCAAACTCTTTCCCTCTCTATGATTTCTAACGCTAACGCTATTCTTTTGCCATCTTGTAAGTTGTAGACTGTATAAGAAAAAACATAACTAGTTTTAATTTTACGTTTAAAAATATAATTTACTGCATATAAATGCTGCCATCATCGCCATATTATTAACTCCATCGTACCATTTGCTGATAATTATATATTTATAAGTTTCTCCGTTGAATTCAGGTTAATTTATTTTCTGCCAGAGAATTCAGGATAACTTCAAAAATACTCAAGTTCTGATTTATATTCATAAACTTAAGATTGAAGCATTGACGCAATCCATCAGACATCAGTGAATAAATCTAATCTAATGCATGCAAAGAAATTAAAAAAGAAAAAAAGTTCGACTCATTAACTTCAGTTTCACATTATCAGTTTATCACTTTCCATGTTAGGATTAAGGATCCACCTTCATCCCTGGAGCCCCACAACTATTTTCCAGTTGACTTTGTCATTTTCATCTTCAAGAAAAAGAGAGAAAGAATAATAATAACACAAAAGGAGCAATACAAAAATAAGGTAAGAAAGGAAAGACAACGCACCTATGACCATGAGAGAGAAATGAGAGGAGCGTGTAGGAGTAGGACTGTGGACAGGAAAGTAGAGCATACACAGGGTGCAAGCTTTCGCAATCCTTCTCTCACCCGCTATTCCTGAAATTCATCTGTTCTATTATTCTGTATCTCTTCTTCCCAAAGGTACGAGCTTTTACGTTTCCTCAATGGTTTCCTTTGCCGTTGACAACTTTTATGCATTTTAATTGCTCATTCACATGTGGTCTGTGCACCCTTTTCCTCTGGGACCGATTTGTCTATTAGGGTTTATGCGGTGAGCTTCGTAATTGTATTTGATTGAATGGTTTTGATGGGCTATCAGTTTTTGGGGTCGCTTTGGTGTTCTGGGTAGTAAGGCAGATGTTAGCTCTATTTTTCTTGGTCTTATTATGATTATTATCCTGGCTTTTGTTGTTTCATTGATTTGCTGCATCTTTTCTTCTTGTTCTTTGTTGATATTATTGGTTTTTGAGTTGTTTGTTGCTTGTGAAGATTAACTTTTGTTGGGAATTTTTTATGCTAAATGTAGTGAGCCTTTATTGGAAAAGTCATAAATTCAGGGTTGTGAATTATAGTATTATAGTCTTTAAGCCTTGTTATCGAGTCCAGATAATAATTTCAATAAAAGTTCATTGAATGGCTACTGATTTGGAAAGCTGAGTTGTGTGTTAATGAAAGATGCATATTGTCAAAACTACACCTGGAGAACTACCTCCTATTTGAATCCAACAATTCCTGAATCTGGATTAACTGGTGGTAGCGGATACTAAATAGTTGTACTCAAAGGAAAACGATGCTTATTGTCTCTTTCTATTGCCAACTACAGCATGAAAGGTTGCAATAGCAGATGTGTGAAGCCTGTACAAGCTGTGCAAGATGTTGGATATAGTTGCATGTTGTGTTGTATCTTAGAAAAGAAACTATGGCTTCTAAATCCAACTTTTTTATTCAATAAAATAAAATTGTGATAGCTTTCAAATCGTTAGTACGTGATGTTGAACAACCACGTGCGCACATCTTTGTGATTTTTGGGCTCCTTTATAAGCAATTCACCTTTTCTCAGTTGCTGCCTATTAATGCTATTCCTCTGGTCTTAGTGAAGGACTTGGCCACTGGTTAAATTTTGTAATTAATTAGGACATGATATTTGCTTGCATAATTTCAAGTTGACATCATTGTTATTGCTTCATGAAACATCATGCCCATTTCTTTGTGAACTAGCTGTAAATACCATCTGCAGACTTGCGTCAGATAAGACACAAGTTTTAGGGTGCCTCTTATTTTCTTTTGTGCTGAATAACAGGAATGAAAGAGACCATCACTAGTGGTTTTGGCTAAAAAGAAAACAGAAACAAGTGCTAAAAAATGGGAGGTTGCTGCTGCAGTGCCAGAAAACCTCATCTGCATGGAACACCAGTTTATATCTATGTCAGTAATTTAATTTATCCTTCTTGCATAATTTATAGCTTTTGTAGAACTAGAACATTTGATGGTTGATAAGTGGCAATTGGAATGCCATGAACTGCTTTATTGACCACAGCTGTAAATGCAACACACTAAAGCACCATTGCAATCTGGCTTCCTTGAGGGTTTTGATTATTGTGACTGAAATTGTCTTTACTGCAGGTAATCATCAAAGGTGCTGCCAGATTTTATTTATACTGTGCACATCCCCCCTTTTTCTATCTTCTTTGAACACTGAAGTAAAAAGTATAGCCCCCCCCCCCCAAACCAAAAAAAAAAAAAACCTTTGCTAGATGGATGCTTATTCTGGGCACAAAGGATCTCAAAAGATAACCCATTGGCTGTTATTTAATAGAAATGTTAAAAGTTTTGGTGTAGTAATTCAATGAGGCAATAAAAGCGTTGGATGAATAGTATATGGCAAAAGTGTTGGAAGAAAGTTGATTACAGTTGGTTAGTTGTTTTGTTTGGACTATAGAACTGTTTTTGACCAAATATTAGATTCATTGGCAAAAGAAGAGCTAATGAATCATACATCTCTGATTGTGATAAGTTAGGCACCTGGCAGGAAAAAAATTGCCCTGATGCATTCTTTTTTGGATGATGCATCAGCTGCAAGCGGGTGCAAATTTTTTTAAGATATGGAAGCTTAAATTTAACTTATCTTGACAAATCTCTGGTTTATCTTTTCTTTTCATCACCTGCAAAGTTCTTCGCAGAAATGAAAAGGAAATTGAAATGGATTTTCATGGCTGCCTTCTATTTTATCATTTCTACATTTATTCTTGCCTTTTGTAGATTGTACAGTGAGGAGAATGGGGATAAGAAAATGCCTTAATTGTCATGAGGCAATTTGCAGAGATTAAGTGCTAAAACATAATTATGATTACTATATATTATAACACCTTTATAAGAACCTAGTTTTTCTCTTTCTTTTACATAAAGTTGGGAGAATATCTAAAGAATTTTCTCCCACGCAAGCATGACCCCCGCAGGAGGTGTCAAAGGGAAAGCGGCTTGAGATTGAGCTGTATTGTAGTATTGATTGTTTTTTCACACGTTCAAGCTCTTTCACGATGATAGCCATTTACTACTTTTTACATGGGACTTTGCGTAATAGACATTGCTTGTGACATATTTTAAATCTAAGAAAATCTTTTCTTCAGTGTCCACCGGCTTTGGAAGAGCACGAGTCTTTAACTACTAATGATGGTACTGGTGGTTCACTCACTGCCGGCTTGCTGGTCGGTTTGGACCTTCAGGGATCAACACCTGATACTTACCGGCCCCCTCCTGCACCGTTGCCATATGATACGGTTTTGGGTTGTCCAGTGTCAACTGATTCTGAGTCAGGCAGAGAAACAGTTAGTGGTAGTAGTTTTGCAACTTTACTTACATGTGAAGATATTGAAGATGCGGAATGCAAAGTTCATGCTAATTCTATGCCTACATCTCCAAGGAAGCCAGAACTAACAAAATCAAATGAATCTCATGTATTAGTGACAGAGGAAGAGGATGGTTGCCCAATTTGTCTTGAAGGTACAGTTGCCCCAATTTGTAGAAATATTCTTTCTCATCCTCCCATTTTAACTGTGTTTCTGTCGATAGAACTGGGACTAATCCGTCCTGGCTCTCTTTGCCTCTTAAGCCACTGAAAGAGTTTATGTAAGATATGCATTTTAAATGCAGAATATGATGTTGAGAATCCTAAAACTCTGACCAAGTGTGAACACCACTTTCACCTATCTTGCATTCTTGAGTGGATGGAACGAAGCGACTCTTGTCCCATATGTGATCAGGTATGTCTTCTGCAAAAACTGTGAAAAAGGAAAAAAAGGTTGTTAAACTAACCTAAGCACTAAGCAGTTCCAGCTGGATGCAGAAATATGGTTTTTTGCTGACTTGAGAAATCTAAGCATGTCACGGTCAAATAAAACCAATCTAGCGTTTTTAATCCTGAGGAAAATTATATGTTGGACCCAGCCCATAAAAAAATTTTATGGTAAAGAATCTTATAAATCATGATAAATATTATGGTTCAATTTTTAGAAGTTATTACTAGCTTTGAGAATATACTTAAAACCTGGTAAAATGTTCTTAAATTCAGTTAATAGCTTCCCTAAAAGTTGTGGATAAGTCGCGTAAAACTGCATTGTAATTTTGATTTTTGGAAATGATTACAATTTCGCAAGATCCTTAGGCCTAATATTATTAGAATATGGGTACTTGGATGTAATTTTCCCTTTACCTTGAACAACAATTCTGCCGTACTCCAATGAAATATTCTCTTTCCCCTTTCTGATGTTACAGGAGATGATCTTTGACCAGAAACTGAATTAGATTATTCGTTTTAAAACCAAGGTTAGCTAAATGGTGGTTGATGAATGGAGGAAGTTCATTGTTTGATAACTGGTTTGATGATGGTAGCTACAGATTCGTCTTCGATTTGTCATGCATCTGTAGTGTAGTCAGTGTCTTAACGGGTTCGTCATCAATATCAGCTATCTATCTGTGAAGAAGAATGAAGTTTTAACAAAATACAAGATATTGCCTGTTGCCTTGGCTGCAATTCTTCACAGGGGAATTTGCCTGTTAGTATAAGAATGAAGCATTTCTCAAGAGGAAGATATTATTGTTCATTAATGGTTTTTCCTTTGCTATCTCTTTCACTCGTCTTTTTTTTTTCCTGGTGTTAATTTGCTTCTCTCTATTTCTTGTACAAATATCTCAATATTTATGTGCTTTCCCATGCTTTATATTTCTATTTTTTCCTTTGTTGGGAAAAGAAAATATTTATCCTGGTGTTGTAAATCATGTCTTTTTCACTTTTGTTGTATACTACATACAGACTGGTGGATGATGGGGCTCCAGTCCATTGTCTGAAAGAAGAAGAATAGTAAAAATCTTGTTTTGAGTTGGGGGTTAAGGGGGGATGATTTGTAAACGTTTTTGAACATTTAGTCAACACTGAATTTTGCTGGCTTGTGGCTTGTTCGAGAATTGTGAGTCTAAAACTCAATTTTGACTATTCATCCAGTATTGACTTGTATAGAAACTATCTCTGATGGGAAATTCTTACAATCAATAGGGGTATAATGGGAAGCCAAGTGAATTAAGATCTTATATTTTGATCAAATTCAATCCTCTAATTAGTTTTTATATTAAAGACCAAAAGTAGTAATAGGCAGGTTGATCGTTGTTTTAAGCCTAAATGGAAGATTGAGATTGCTTCACCCCCAGAGAGTTTAGGTGAGGAATAACGGGGCCATCACAGCTGTTGCAAGTTAGAATTTTACATACCTAATCATAAAGACCAAATGAGTTCCACAAAGAACAATGTTTGAAGTGTCCTGATTGGCTTGTGAGAGCCAATTATGAACAATTGCTATGACTTCGAGTTGCGTGAGTATTTAGGTCCTCATTGCCTTAAGTTTCAAATTGGACAGAAGAAAGAAAGGAAAGTTGTTGAATTCCAACCTAAATAAATAGGCTTCCTTAGTTGACTCCGCCTCTATTCAAGAAATTAGATAACCAGAAATCTAATTAATTGGTCTTTATAATTTCAAGAGTTATCAACTCCGTTTCCTGTATTTTAAAAACCAGATAGTAACCCTGTTCTTGAGTCAAAGTAATTACATAAATTAAAATATAAATATGGTTTTATGGAGGAAAAAAAGAAAGAAAGAGATATAACTACGTTAAAAGTGGACTTTTTACTAGGAATATATTTTAGGCACTTACACGTTTATTTATAGTATTTTTCCATCCCCATTTTATAGAAGACGTGAAATATGAAATTGAAAACTGTGTATGGAATGTAGTGAGTAAAAGTCAAAACAAATAGGAGACAACTCAATTATTCTTACTTGGACTTATTTGGCAACTTGTCATACTCTTTTTCTTTTTACCAACTTTCTTTTTATTCTCCTTGATTGCTTTTGAAAATTAAACTAAAGACAATAGCTCTTCTTGTCACTTTTGAATCTCATCAATCACAAATTATATAATTCATCGTTTTCTTTCCCCTCCTATGCCAACCCCACCACTAAAAAAGTTCAAAATTATCATGCTTTCTTAAATCACAATCTAGTGCCCTTTTAACGTTGCAAAAGTATTTTAAATTATAGTTTTGAGAGGCGTGAGTGATAAGTTTTAAGGATTAAGAGTAATAGTGAAAAGCATTAATTTTGGAACCTAAAAAAAAACAGTTTTTGAAGTTGAATTCTTCAATAAAATTTTTGCTAAATATTTTGTAATGAGACAAATTTTTACTAGTAATTAATGTTCACTGAATTCCAGTAAAACGTGGCGTTTGTTATGGTCTTCATTTTTTGGGAGTTTTTATGCAAAATGAAAAGGCTGATGATGGAGACGGGGGCTCCCGAATATCATATCAAATCACGTGAACAAAAAATCCTTTATTTGATTTTAACTCAGTAAAACATCTAATCCTGATTCCTGACACATCTATAAAAAAAAAAAAAAGTGGGAATCCAGCTCTAATTACACTAATTGGTCTTGGCCTTGACTTGAAGGTCTAGAACTTCGTCCTCCTCATCCCATATTTACACGTGTCTATGTACAAACATAGATAATGTGTCCCAATATTTGCAGATTGGGATGCTTTTCATTTTTTTTTATCATCTGGAAAATTTGGAAAGGAGAATCCAAAAAAAAAAAAAACTTTTAAAATTTAAAATTTCAAATCAATATTGATTGCTACATTTTAATAATAGTTAACTCTTTCAGCAAGATTCAAACTTTAATTGATTATATTGTGATAAACTAGCACTTTTTACTAGACTTAATCCCATTTGTGCATCAGTCATTTTAATGAGTATTTGTTTTCAACAAGTCCTTATCTGGGTTGGCTTATTTTAAATATTTATAAGCATGTTTTGCATAAATCAAAATAAAACTTCTCTAATATTTTTACTTTATATTTCCTAAATTATAATTATAAAACTGCTCACGAATCATTTTAAACCATTCTAAACAAGGCAGATACCTGATTCAAGTTTTATTGGACCTAAAAAAATTTTTGAAAAAATCTCTCAGATGAAATGAGACGTTGGAGAAGCAAGATGCGCGAGACCCTGTAAAGAAATGGTGAGAATATTGTCTAAATATACTTGAAAATAAAAAAGAATCTCTAAAATAGGAAGTTTAAAATGATTTTTTGTTAATAATATCCGTGAAAAATAACAGTAGTATTGATGGCAGTGAAGAGACACCCGATAAAATTAAAACGATACAAAGAAAATTAACATCACCCCAGCACAAGGATGAAGTTGAATGTATAAATTTTAAAAACTGGAGTGATTTATCATTTCAAGTGTTAACAACTATTTCCGGTTTTAATTATAAAATCTTATTTTCTAATTATAAGATTTTATTTGTAAAAATAAAATATTATAATTAGGATTAGACATAGTATATATGAATTGCTGGTGGTTTTATACCGTTAATGCTGAGGTTTCATCTTTTGTTATGGAATATATGAGCTTTGTTTAATTTAAGAAAATGGCGGACCGCTCTGATGATGTGTTACTGATTTTTTACTTAATAATAATAATAATGCACGTGCCCCATTATCAATACACACTAACACCCACCATCATCCATGGACATGTCCCTGGCATTCAATATTATAACTTTGAACAATTTAACCCTAAAAAAAAAAGTAATTTCTGAAAAAAGGAAGTGGCTTGTATTTTTATGTTTGCAAGCAAGCATAATTGTCACTGTCGTGTCCCGACATAGCGGTGAGCTGTTCAAGGAGAACATGTAAAACCGGTCAACTTGACCCATATTCCCAGAAATAAAATTGGGTAAACATCCAAATTTACCTCGATTTTATTTTTTAAGCATACCCAGTATCTTAATTTTTTTTAGTACTACAACTTTACTCACAATCTTTTTTTCAAAGATCATGAGTAAAATTATACTTAAAAAATAAAATTATACCCAAAAAATTATGGATAAAATTGCATCATTGAAAACATCAGAGTGTTAAAAAACACCTAAAAAATAAAACCAGAAATAAATTTGCATCTTTACTTAATAAAATATTTTATCCTTAAAAGTGTTTTTAAGGATAAAATATTCTTTATATCAAATTATAATCTTTATTCTCTGGAAAATATTAAGATCCTGTTATGATCATATCTACTGATTCCTCACTGAATAAAGTTCTTCGATAATTTCCGTTATAGAAAATATTCTCATCTTTTTCCTAATATATGTGATAAAATGTATTTCAAAAATATTTTATTTATTAAGATAGATAATTAAAATAAAATAATAATAATATCAAAAAAACGAAAAATAAAATATTAACCAATTTAATTATTACTGAGGAATAAAAGTAAAATTACTCTTGAAATGACTTTAATATGTTTATGACCAACATGCGCGAGGGGAAAGCATGTTTTCAACAGGACTCGCTTTTTCGGCCAAAAAAAAAAAAAAAAACAGGACTCGCTTTGAAACTTCCAAAATGAGGGAGCACGGGGGGGAGAGGGGCTGTGCAGGATTAAATATAATACTCTTGTTATATTGAAACAAATGGAATGTAAAATTATATTAATATTAAATGAAATTTTTATGTTGGCAAAAAATTAAAATATAATTTCTAAACACAATAATTTAAATAAAAAAAAATAGCACTTAGATCATTCCCAAACAAAATTGCATAAAATTTCGGCCAAAAAAACAAAATTGCATAAATTACTCTAAACTACTGACGTCATGTTTGAAGAAGAATTCAGATCATCCTAGTTATAAAATCATGGATTCCTAGACGCAACTTAGGTCTAATCATTAGTTAGGTTGCTTAATTTTGCTTTCGAAGCACATAATAAGATCTTTATTGCGTCTAGACGGTTATAATTAACGCTTCTTCTTCTTTTTTTTCTTTTTTGGCTATTTATGAAGGTACACGAAAGTTGTTTTCAAAGTCCAAGCTTATAACACCGCCTGTTGGCCCAGTGTGTGGGTGTGTGCGTGGGTGTGTGTAATGCGGGTTCGATCCCGCCCTTCTGTAACTCAAAAAAAAAAAAGTCCAAGCTTATAAAAATATGTTAAATCGATTAAGTTCACGCGGTCTAATTATAAACAAGAAAAAGTCATGTTAATTCCTTTTCTGCCCATTCTGAAATATTCCAATGCATGCTGAGCTAAAATAAACATGTTTGAGTGAAGCAAGCACATTTCCCTTTTCTTTAACATTTCACAAAAATATACTTTCATCCCAGTTATAAATTTATGACCCGTTAAAGTTAGGAAGAAACAGAAATGCAATTTATGTAAGGAAACGTTATTAGTTATTGGTGTCGAAAATAATTGCAAATAACAATGTTAAATTTAGGAAATTATTTACTAATATTGAGTTCGTTCTTTGAAAGGAGAAAAAAATGTAAATTATTTTTTAGGAAAAAATGGGATAAATTCCCCATTAAGAAATTAATTATATAGTTTTACCTATTCTTTATCAATTTTGTACAACTTAACTTTTCTTGTGTGTGATTCATCTTCTCGTATATATGTGCAATCATCTTCTCATGATGTATTTCTTTTATGCAACTAATATTCTCTTATGTGTAATAATCTTTCTTTACGTGTGATTCATCTTTCTTTCATACAAATTAGTCCTAATATGTGCAACTCAGAAAGTGTTTGGTAAATTAAAAAAAACTTTTAAAAAGTATTTTCACGTCAGTTGATATAAAATTTATCTTACATACTTACTTCATATATCATAAAATTATTTCTAAAATTATAATTTAGTGAGCCCCATAATTTGTCTTGTGGTTTTGTTGAATCCATGGTGTTGGGGATGATTTGTGAAGTAATTTTTTTAGGAAGAATTTTTTTTTTGATATAAACCATCCGGTATCCAACCGCGCCTTTTCTGGGCCCCAGCCTCTTTGGACCAGTTGTACCCGAGCGATCGACTAGTCCGGATTCGGGCCGGGCGACAAGTAAAAAGCCCTCCCCGGTACCCTTTTTAACAAGTGAGGATTCGAACCCCTGCCCTCAAAGAGCAGAGACTCACCTCACTTGTAGCCTAGCCAGTCACCACTAGGCCAGGAGTATTCGGGTTTTTTTAGGAAGAATTTTCCCTCAATATTTCGAATCTTTTAAGACAGTAGCAATGAAAGGATACATCCCCCGGTCGAGGAATACTGGGGTATTTTTTTTAACAAGCACAAATATCTTTGAAAATTTAAGATATTCCTTCCGTTACTTTTTATACAATACAATTTTTTTTTAATAGGTTTGTTTTTTTTTATAAGATTCTTTTTAAATTTATCTGAATATTTAATACATTATTACCTATTTTACTTATAGTTTAATGTATTTAATACATTCTCCTTCTTCATTTATCTCATTAATACTCACTCAAATTTACCTATTTATATATAGGAGTATATCTGAAAAAAATTATATTTGCTACATATTAATTACTTTTAATTAATTTTAACTGTTCTCATAAACCACATAATTTAATTAAAAAAAATTTATAATAAGGGACAGAATAGTATTATCATATATTCCTTCTATTACATTACGAAAAAAATCTTATATTTAAAAAAAAATTATATTTAAGGCAGGAGGAATATTAAATATACGCATTACTCCAACGAAAAGTTAAACGGTTAAACCTTAATTAGGGACTAACCCGAACGTTGGGATGCGAAGAAAAAGGAAAGAGGGGTTTGACAAAGTGCGTGTGCCACCCAATAAGAGAGCGACACGTTTATATTTTTAAAAAACATTTTAGGTTGGGACTCCGTCTTCCCACTGTGTCAGTGGTCCCCACCTAGGTCCCCTCTCCCTCTCCGCATGGAATAATTGCCGCCTCATATTTTCTCTTACTGATATTTTATATAAATTTGGATATTTTTAATTTTAATTTGTTCAGTTCATTCGCGCGTTGAAAACACACCGATTCAGGACACATGTCTGCCACTGCCGCCAACACACTCCCCCAAAAATCACCCTCACTCTCTCTCTCCCCCCCCCCTCTTGCTTTTTTACAGCGTTCTTTACTTTTCCACGCATAATAAATATTAATTAATTGGTCCTGCTCTCAATATTATTTAATTTTTAATTAACTGATAATTTATTTCATTACCTAAACTAATTACATAATTTATATATCTAGGATACTAGGACTAGAGACACTGTTATAGTAATTTACAAAGCTGGGTGCTTGGGGAAAAAAAAAGGAAAATTACCTACAGATCCCACATAAAGCAATTTATCACTCTGAAGTCCCACAAAATGTCAAAATCACTGACAGGTCCCAAGAGACCTCAGAGTAATATTTTCGATTTGTAAAATGACATTATTGCCTCTCATATTCCAGATTTACATTTGCTCTGTCATTGTGATTTACAACCTCAGCAGCGACTATTAACAACTCAATGAGAGGGTGTTAACAACCCTAGCAGTATCCGTTAACAACTGACTTTATAGAATCATATAACCTTCACATAAGAGTAAATTATAACCAAATAGTATAATACAACAACTTTAACACTAAAATGGGAAGCTTTTGATATCATTAAGAATTTTAACTAGATCCAATAGGATTATAGTAATATTTTAATGCGAAGATCCATTTACAACCTTAATAGCGACTATTAACAACCGAATGAGAGAGCATTAACAACCTAAGCAGTATCCGTTAACAACTTACTTTATAGAATTATATAACCTCCGCATAAGAGTAAATTATAACCAAATAGTATAATACAAAAACTTTAACACTAAAATGTGAAGCTTTTTGATGTCATTAAGAATTTTAACTAAACCCAATAGGATTATAGCAACATTTTAATGCGAAAATCCATTTACAACCTCAACAGTAAGTATTAATAACCTAAGGAGAACTGTTAACAACCTTAGCAGTGCCTGTTAACAACTAACTTTATCGGATAATATAACTTCTAACTATAACTAACTAAATTATAACTAAATAGTCTTAAAGTTAATCTTATATAGTTGTTAGAGGTTATATTATCATATAAAGTTAGTTGTTAACAGATACTGCCTAGATTGTCAACAGCTCTCTTTGGGTTATTAATACTCACTATTGAGGTTGTAAATGGATCTTCGCATTAAAATATTGCTATAATCCTATTGAGTTTAGTTAAAATTCTTAATGATATCAAAAAGCTTCCCATTTTAAAGTTGTTGTGTTATACTATTTGGTTATAATTTACGCTTATATGGAGGTTATATGATTCTATAAAATAAGTTGTTAACGGATACTGCTTAGATTGTTAATGCCCCTTCATTCGGTTGTTAATAGTCACTATTAAGGTTGTAAATGGATTTTCGCATTAAAATATTACTATAATCCTATTGGATCTAGTCAAAATTCTTAATGATATCAAAAGCTTCCCATTTTAGTGTTAAAGTTGTTGTATTATACTATTTGGTTATAATTTACTCTTATGCGGAGGTTATATAATTCTATAAATAAGTTGTTAACGGATACTGCTTAGGTTGTTAATTCCCTCTCATTCGGTTGTTAATAGTCGCTGTTGATGTTGTAAATGGATTTTCGCATTAAAATATTACTATAATCCTATTGGATCTAGTTAAAATTTTTAATGATATCAAAAAGCTTCCCATTTTAGTGTTAAAGTTGTTGTATTATACTATTTGGTTATAATTTACTCTTACGTGGAGGTCATATGATTCTATAAAGTCAGTTGTTAACGGATACTGCTAGGGTTGTTAACGCCCTCTCATTGGGTTGTTAATAGTCGCTGCTGAGGTTATAAATCACAATGACAGAACAAATGTGAATCTGGAATATGAGAGGCAGTAATGTCATTTTACAAATCAAAAATATTACTCTGAGGTCCCTTGGGACCTGTCAATGATTTTGACATTTCGTGAGACCTTAGAGTGATAAATTACTTTATGTGGGACCTATACGTAATTTTCCAAAAAAAAAAAAAGATTTCTTCACTTCCGAGATGTTTAGGAAATTGGATCCTCTTCGTAATGTCCGTGAATGCAGCTTTTACAGTGGGGAGAGAAATGGATGCTATAGACTAGCATATTACTGTATGCGGCTATTTCTTTCCTTGCCATTCCACAATTAAAGTTTCAACCAGGAAAGAAAAATAATAAATAAATAAATTGACTGATATTAAGTTAAGAGCACACCAATTCATCCAGAGCTCATCCTCCTCCTCGACGATGAACTCATCTAGCTAAAGCCATGTGTTCGGCTGCCCCAAAATCCTGACCAAGCACAGCCCAGCTAAAATGTCGCTTCTCACTCCTCAGCCCTCTTCCTCCCCCATACCCTTCGCTTTCTTCTTCCTCTTCCTCTTCGCTTTTTCCTCTTCTCAAGCTAACTCTTCCGACGGGGGCAGGAAGGTGCAAGCCAACCGCGTTCTGTTAACAGGAAATGAGACCTTGCGCAGTGAGAATGGGACATTCGAGCTTGGCTTCTTCAGCTTCAATGGCGGAGAACCCAATTATTACTTGGCGATAAGGTACGCGTCGGTTCCGCTTCCCACGTACGTCTGGGTCGCGAATCGCGAAAAACCCAGCAAAAATCTCGCCTATTCGACCCTGGAAATCACTGAAACTGGCCTCCTTGTTGTGAAAGATTCACCAACCTCGATTCTTTGGCAGAGTACGAATTTAGAAACTTCTGGAGCAGGAGAAGTAAAGCTTTTAGACAGTGGGAATTTGGTCCTCCTCACTCGTGACAGCTCTGTTTCATGGCAGAGCTTCGATTTTCCCACGGACGCTTGGCTCCCGGGCATGAATATGACCCGGACCCGGTCCCTGGTGTCGTGGCGGAGCCCCACGGACCCATCGCCGGGACTCTATTCTCTGCGGCTGAAACCGCCAGGCTACGGTGAGTTCGAGCTCCTCTTCAATGACTCCAAATCTTATTGGACAACCGGACGGTGGAAGGGCGACTCGTTCCTCAACATTCCGGAGATGATGATTCCATACCTCTATCTCTTCGACTTCGCGAATCCATTCACACCAAAGGCTTCGTTTGGGTTCCGGGAGAAGCCTCTGAACGGGCAGAGACCACCCACGTATTTCCGAGTCGAATCGTATGGGCAGGTCCGACAGTACACATGGTGGTCTCAGGCTGGAAGCTGGAACATTTTCTGGTCGGAGCCGAAAAATGTGTGTGACGTTCATGGCCTGTGTGGTAGCCTTGGAGTCTGCAATGGCGAAACTACGCCGGAGTGCCAGTGCGTCTCCGGTTACAAGCCCTTGGACGACGGTAGATGGGCTTCCGCAGACTACTCCGGCGGGTGCCGTCGGAAAACCGATAGTCCCTGCGATAAAAGTGATGGGTTCGAAGATATGGGCGTTATGAGCTTTGAAGCACTCAATGTGCGATCGTTTCAAACCAAGTCTCGCGGCAATTGCGAGACTAATTGTTTAAGTTCTTGTGATTGTATTGGTTTATCTTTCAGTCAAAAGACCGGTTCCTGCCGGAACTTCTTCGGCTCAATTCTGAATCTCCATAATTCATCTTCTGAAACCCCTGTTTCTGGCAATTTGTATGTTAGGGTACAACGAGGTGAATCTGTGAAGAGACAGAGTCGTCAAATTCTGACTGGCACTATCATTGGGGCAATTGCTTTTCTTGGGTTAATAGTGGCGACATTGTTAGTATTGCTGAATCGAAGGCGGAAGAAGAAGAAACTAGAAGAAGATGGATTGATTCCTGTTCTGAATCTTCAGTTATTTTCCTACAAAGAGCTGCAATTAGCGACTCGGGGATTCTCAGAGAAGGTGGGCCATGGTGGGTTCGGGACAGTATTTCAAGGAGAATTACCAGATTCAACCCTCGTAGCCGTGAAGCGACTGGAGAGGCCAGGTGGTGGAGAAAAGGAGTTCAGAGCCGAAGTTTCCACCATTGGTAATATCCAACATGTTAATCTCGTTAGACTCAGAGGCTTTTGCTCAGAAAATTCTCACAGACTTCTGGTTTACGAGTTCATGCCCAACGGTGCTCTTAGTTCTTACCTTCGCAAGGAAGGAGGGCCTAGTCTAAGCTGGGATGTTAGGTTCCGAATAGCCGTGGGAACAGCCAAAGGTATAGCTTACTTGCACGAAGAATGTCGAGATTGCATCATTCACTGTGATATCAAACCCGAAAACATCCTCTTGGACACCAATTTCACGGCCAAAGTTTCTGACTTTGGATTAGCGAAGCTCATGGGGAGGGATTTCAGTAGGGTTTTAGCAACCATGAGAGGTACCTGGGGGTATGTAGCACCGGAGTGGATTTCTGGCGTAGCAATCACCACAAAAGCTGATGTTTACAGCTACGGCATGACATTGATAGAGCTGATCAGCGGTCGCCGGAATGTGGAGGCACCCCCACAATCAGGTGGTGGCGCCGGCTTCGAGGAGGCCGGAGAGAAAGAGAAATGGTTCTTCCCTCCGTGGGCTGCACGGCAGATAACTGAAGGGAATTGGACTGCAATACTTGACAGGAGACTTGGGAATGCGTACAACATGGAGGAGGTAAGGAGGGTGGCTCTGGTGGCTGTATGGTGCATTCAGGATGATGAAGGAAGTAGGCCTACAATGGGGATGGTGGTGAAGATGTTGGAGGGGTTAGTGCAAGTAGAAGTTCCTCTCACGCCTAAATTGCTTCAGGCATTGGTTTCCGGCGAGTCCTTTAGAGGCATCAAGGCAGATTCCGGCACCTCCGGTGGCAATGCCGATTCAGAATCATTTACAGTGTGTGTTTCTTCCCCAGCAACCATGAATGTCAATGTCGTTGTACAATGATGACGATGAGTTCAAGGTGCAAGGTAGAGCATTTTGAGTTCGAAAAAGAAAACGCGGTGTAGATGAAGATGTAAAGTGCTTGGATTTTCTGTAAAAGTTTTGGGTTTTTTATTCAAAATGAAAATCCTGGAAGTTGTTTTTTCTCTAGCTCATGTTTTCTTCATCATATTTCTCGCCCTCATCTCGGATGAAGCAAGGAAGCCTTACCTCATCCAGGTCTCTTTGCTGTGATTGTAGAATAAGACTGGGGAGAAGATTTTGTTTGAAATTATAGCAACAAGAGAATGAACACAAATCTTGAAGACATAAATGCGAGTTTCACGGTCACAAATCTGTACAAACGAAGCGAACTTTCATAAGCGAAATAAGCAATTTTGTAAAATTCTTGGAACGCAACGCGCAGAATTAAAAAAAATCCTTTCGTAATCACAGGGGACGATCTGAGTTGAAATAAAAAAATTAAAAATAGAACATGAGTTTGACTTGAGGAGAAGAACAGGAGAGTTTGGTAAGAATGGCAAATCTCCTTTCCTCCTTTTGGACAAAATATCCAATTTTTTGACATTTGATAAATCAAATTCCTTAAATAAATAAAAATACAGGTCCATTATTGATGTACGAAATAAGAATTCCGAATTTGTTATGGTGAACGGGGGGGGCTGGTAGGCCCAGAGATAAGGATGAATCCGAAGGAACCTGCGTCTGCTTTTGAAGCGCAGTATATGCATGAAATGATATGATGCGAATGTGATGATGGGGTATGATTTTACAAAGATTGAAAGTATCTTGCTTTATTCCCTTTCTACTTTCTGAGTATGACGGTGATATATATAAATATATATATATTTGAAAAATATTGCCTTCTACTGTTGCTCACTTTCAATTTCAATGGCCAAATCATGGATGCTGCTCCTTTTTGTCTCCAACTTTACATTCACCTGTTTGGCTTCTGGGCGATCTTTATGGGCCCTTTTTGTGGGTAATCTTTAAAATATAAGGGCTTGCCATGTGAGTTTTTTTCTTCAAGTGGCTTTTCTTTTCATTACAATCAAGTTAAACATATAAAAATATGTGAATGTCCTGTTTAAGTTCAAGGCCTCGTCCAAGTATAACAAGCAGATAATGCTATAGTGCTGTTAGTAAGGCAGCTTGGTGTCATGTGCGAGTGCTGTTAAATAGGAAGCTAGAGAGCAAATTATTGGGTATGATGAGGTCTAAAATGAAATTGAATCCAAAGATAATTGATTACTATATCTGCTGTCGTTGGTACGAAAACGACATCATGATTTGAAGAGGGGGAGGTGGATTCATCAAGTCCTCAATCATTTCTCATGGTATATAATAAATGGAAGATGCCTTCATTACTCTCTTTTGTCATCAACACTTTACCAAACAGTCCCTTCTCTTAACTTCCATTGTTCTTAAATCTAAATTTCATACAGATTGGAGTTTTTAAGCTACATAATTACGTAGTTCTTAAGTCCTCCTTAAGACAAACAATTACAAAATACAAATTTTATCTCCACAATCACACATGCGGTTGTGCTGCAGTAACAGAGTGGTAAAATAACATTAAAGCTGGAAGCTACATAAATACCTGACCACCTAAATTGAGGAAATATGCCTCTTTTTTTTTTGGGTTTAGGTGTATAAATTAAAAAGAAAGAGAAATAAAGAAAGGGTAGCAGGAAGATGTAATGGTAGGTGAGGGGCTACGGGAATAGGAGGGAATCCTGCAGCGAATTTAGTTCTGAAAAATGATGTAGAGGAGTTGGATAGCATCCAGACACTTTTCCACTGATGAAGAATTAGAAAAAGGAAACAGCACACAAAGCTATTTTATTCATCTTTTTATCTCAGTGCCCTCCACCACCTCAATTCTCCCCTAAAACCATTGGACTTCATTGAAAAAAAAAAAATTAAATTATCCAAATTCAGTTTAAGCCATTCAAATTTGATGACTGCTGTTACAGTAGCATCGAAAACATCTTTTCCCATTTTATAATAAATTTATTAATTTAATCACTTGTACGGGCATGCAAATTTGATGTGATTACAAATCTTAAAAAAGAATTATATTTGGTTTGGGCTCAAATTCTTCATTTTTAAATTTTTTTTCCATTTTGACCCAATGTACCTACCTTTCCAAGTGACGTGGCTCCAGAAGTGGCAATGGGTCAGCTGACCCAATGAACCAGCTCATACTTGAGCCCGGAAGAATGAAAACTGAAGAAGCACCGGGCCGAGTTGTTAAACGCGCGCGGGAGTGCCAGTTACAAATATTTATTGATTCTATAGAAATTCTATAGAATTGTTTTTTTTATGGTATATCTCATCTACTAAATTAGTTTTATGAATGGATATTATATTCTTTTAATTAATTATTTTAAAGTAGTGCTTTTAGGATTTTCACATCACTCGCTTCTCTCAAACTTTTTTCTGTCAAGTTAAGGCTGTGTTTGGGTGACACCTCAAACCATGGTTTGGGGAATAAATCACCCAAAAACCAAAACCATGGTTTTGGAAAAAGTAAAATTTTTTTGCTTTTGGAGAAAAAAAAGAGAGTGTGAGAGTCTATAGGATATATATCTTGTTATTTTTTTTATAAACGTATTTAATCTTATATTTTATAAATATGTATACATATTAATTATTTATTAATTATATTATCTTATGTATTATTAATTATGTTAATAAAAAATATATTATTAACAATTTTATTCCTTCAAATTAAAATATATCATAAAATCTATTTTTCTGTAATTATCATATTAACTTTTTTTTTTTTTTTAGTAATTTGTATGTATAAAAAGTGCTTCTGATAACAACTATCCAAACACTCTCACTTCTCAAAATCACTTTTTCATAAAATCTATTCTTTCTAGAATCTATTCTCCAGAATCACTTTCCCAAACCACGGTTTGGTTTCATTCAAACACACCCTAAATCCAACCAAGTATTTCTTTTTTCCTTTTGCTGTGTTTTTTTTTTTTTTTGGTTGTTGATCTGGATTTGTGTATATAACAACTAGGATGTATTACATGCCACATATTATTAGCGAAGTCTGAATGAAACTCATGGTGATAATAATCACTAATTACCTTAAAAATTAAAAAAGAAAAGAAAAGAAAAGAAATTGCTTCAAAATATTGATGGTGTAGACTGTAGAGTAAATATAAATGAGGTAAAAAATCTGGGGGGGGGGGAACGCAGGAACTAATGTGATTTTATCCCTAACAATGATACTACCTCTGATCCTTAATATAAAATCTTATTTGATTTTTATTTGGTTCATGCATCGTGAGAAAAAGCACAGGTTTTTTTAAGATAGACAATGTCCTATAAGAATTTTTTTTCCCAATAAATAACATGATTTTAATGCTTTGAATATCATAATTTTAGAAAACATGAAGTTCTGGGGATAAAAGTTAATTTAACTAAAAATATTTCATATGTTTGGGCTAAAAAATATTTCTAAGCATTGATTTCTTGGGGGGGAAAAAAGGGCATGATCTAACAATTTCCTTCCTTTTATAAATCATTAAAACACGAGCAAATGTTATAACTCAGCGCGCGCGCACACACATATTTACTAATTACAATAGAATCTTAATGAATAACGTTTTTTTTTTTGGGCCAACTTAATTTGATCTAGAATACAAGGAATGTGGTATAATAGTTTTGAAGGGCCTAATTTAAGAGTCATGTATCCCATGGGCCATAAAGTTTTTACATTACATTATCTCTCGATACATGCAAATGGATGAATTCTATTTATTACAATTTATAAATAACTAATTTAATAAATTTTCTCAATTTATTTAAATTAGTTAACTAACATTTATATTAAAAATAAGAGGTAATATTATCTATGATTTTTCCCCTTCTCTTTCTTATGCATCACATGTAGTTTTTGTGAAATCAAAACATTCAAACTCCATCGAGGCATTAATTAATTACATTTTGTACTCTTTTTCCGTATTCAACTCATCAATCGTCTTATACCTGATGCATAAGCTAAATCATTGATCACGTCTGGAAAATAAATATCGTTAAATGACGGAATAAGTATTATTTTTTAAACTATTATTTATTTATTTGCCACAAGTCCAGAGCCACCTTAATCTACGAAGAACTTAAGAATTTAGGATAGGCCTGATGTGATCTGGATCTTGACTGAATAATAAGACATAATCTATGACAAAGATACAGAGATTAAATGACAAAGAACTATGATCAAGGTTGTCAAACTCATCACGTATTTAAGTAAACTTGCAGCCATGATGTAAAATCGAACAGTGAACCCATAAAAATTTACTTTTATTAATAAATTAGTGTTAAAAGTATATGATTTAATAATTAAAATATAAAAACGATAATAATTTTGTTTAAATAGATTTTAAATCTAAATACTTGAAATTAAATTAATCAACATTCGTAAGTTAGAAATGCAAAAAAATAATAAACTCGGTGAATGAACTCGTGAATTCGACTGCGTTTACAATTATCACAAGTTTAAAAACAAGTTAGTACAATTTAAAATGTAAAAGCTTTAATGTTGGAGAGTTAACTTATGAGTTTAACAACGATGGTAATAACTTTTATATATATGATCAAATTAATGAAGGGGCATTGTGATCTATATTCGGTGTTAACATATAAAATATTGTTAGGCATGGGAAGTCGTAATTATAATCACCATTAATGATATATGGTTAATTAATTATTCAGAATCACGTGTCTCAATTGTTGGCGCAAAAAAAAAAAAAGTCATGTATCTCAATTAAACATTCTATGGCTTCTTTTTGCCAACCATGATTTATGATATCGAAATATTCCTTTCTTTCTTCACTTTGCTTAAGCATTTTTTTGGGCCAAAGCTCAGGTATTTTGTTGAAGTGATACAATTAGTATACATAAATTAAATCATGTTGGCCAAAAAAAAAAACCTTTACAAGATAGTTTTCTCTTGAGAATGAAGACGGGGCTTATCCCAGAAGCATATAATTATTTTTTTAAAAAAATACATATAGCCATTTTAACAAGAGAAAATTTAAAAAAAAAAACATCTAAAATTTTAAAATCTCAAATTAGGAATGACTACAAAACTATATATCATTTGTTTTTCAAATGCTATCAATATATTTTTTTTTGGTAAAAGCTATCAATTATTATTAAAGTGTAGTGAATAAGACTGATTTAAAATTTTCAGAAGTCTTTTTTTGAGTTTCTCTCTTTTAACAATCATTTAGAAAGTGCAGCACTAAATGTGAATGCATTATATTGATCAACTGATGCTTATAGCAAAATTAGCTGTCTGATAATAAATTTAAACAATATTCCATGCACCTCCAAGTCAACGCATAAGCTTCCCATTACAAGAATTCAAAACAATTACATACACTTTGTAATATAATATAATATGATAATTGATCCAATTGGCTTCATAATATAATTAAATCACCAACAAATTTAAATAAATGATCCTCCAGTTGGCTAAGATCAAGTCTCTGGCATCCTCAATAACCACAAGTGACAGCACTCATCCAATACAAAAGAATTTTAAAAAAAAAAACTGCAAAAAATTTTAAAAAGTAACATAAAAAAAACTTTGAATTAGTCTAAATTAAACCATCACTCTAAATTCAACACCTGCTGCTCTCTTCGATCGCCAAAAGTCCAGATATCAACAGTTAAAAAATAAATTAATTTGAGCGAAAGTTTGGAAGTAGATTAAACTTTTCACCTCATTGACTAAATTTCACTCAACTTTTCATTCAATCGTATTGAGGGTAAGAATGAAACAAGGTTTATAATGTCTAATTAATAAATCTCATACAAGTAAATGATTCAGATGTAAATTGAATGAATTAATATTTGCAATTAGATCATAACCACATGAGAGTTGCTGAAGTCACAAGTTCATAGCCTCCCTAAATGTGATTTCAATAACCATCATGTGGATGAAAACTATTCATTCTTAAAATCCAGATCACCCCCGCTTGACGTGTGTTAGATTTTTTTTTAAAAAAAATCGGTGAAAAAATCCCCCTCCAAGAATTTCGTTAGCTAGAAAAATCTTATTCTACTTCTGATTTTAAATTTACGATCAAGTTGAATAATTTAAAAAGATTAAAGAAATTAAATAAACTAGTTTAAATGATTTATATTTATTATTATTTTTTAACTAATTGGTCTCATATATAAATTGATATATAATCTAATATAATAATATATATAAGTATTTCGAAAATACCACAAAAAATATACTATAATTAAATCATTCACTTATTTTTTTAATATCTTTAAATTGATCAGTTGAGCTGAGTCTTATATTAATGATCAGAAATAATATATTTTTATGCATACAAAGTATTAGCACTCTGAAAAAATTCACACACATTAAATATCTTTTCGACCAACTGTGGAGTTTCTATAGATATGCAGAGGGTGTTTGACAATATTCAAAAGTGCATATAAGAAGCACTTTTCTGCAAAATGAAACAAACTCCTCCATATATTTACTTTGTAAACTATAAAAAGTATTTTTGAAATCATGATTTGGTTTCTATCCAAACACTCTCACAATTTTAAACAGAAATGTTTTGAAGTGAAGCAAAAGCCTTATCTTTATTAAGATTAATAACATTGATTGTTAAATTCATCTGGACACCAGTGATTCCTCTAAAGTACGAGGATAATACTTTTATGACTAGATTTGTGTCTTAGGGTGTGTTTGGATGAAACCAAACCATGGTTTGGAGAATAGCTTCTGGAGAATAGATTCTAAAAAAAATAGATTTTGAGAAGAATAGATTTTGTGAAAAAGTGATTTTGAGAAGTGTGAGTGTTTGGATAGTTGTTATTAGAAGTACTTTTTATATATACAAATTGGCATAAATTAATATGATAATTATAGAAAAAATATATTTTATGATATATTTTAATTTGAAGGAATAAAATTGTTAATAATATATTTTTTATTAACATATATTAATAATATATAAGATAATATAATTAATAAATAATTAATATGTATATATATTTATAAGATATAAGATTAAATATATTTATAAAAAATATGTTTATAAAAAAATAACAAGATACATATTCTATAGGCTCTCACATTCTCTCCTTTTTCCTCCAAAAGTAAAAAATTTCTGCTTTTCTCAAAACCATGGTTTTGAACCCAAACCATGGTTTTGATTTTTTTAAGGGTGTTTGGCTAACATTTTTCCCAAACCATGGTTTGGGTCCCAAAACCATGGTTTGAGGTGCTTGCCAAACACACCCTTAATCGCTGATTATATTATTTATGATCTGCAAATGGTATTTCTCCCCTTGGGCCAAAAAAAATACTATCTCTTATTCTAATTATAAGACATCTTTTATAGTCTATAAATAAGATTTTATAATTTGGACTGTAGGTAGTAAATAGTATTTCTTGCTATAAAGTTTATATTTAATAAATTAAATAAAAAGCACATTTCTTTTTTTTTTTTTACCTGAATAAAAAGCGAAACTTCTAAATGATGCAGCAAGCCTGCAAAATTTGTATACTACTCAGCCGATTGGGAGAGACAAAATTTTAATTAGCTAAATTTAAAAAATTAGAAAAGTAGGGTTATAAAATTTTGATAAAGAACATATATAAGATAAAAAAGTAAGCAAAATTAATTAAAAACTTTTAACAATGCTTCTCAAATTTTTTAAATTGAGCTCATTAAAATTTTTCCTTACCTCTCATTCTTTTTATTTTTCTCGTATCAAATAGACCATAAATATAAAGCCTATTTCATAGTATATTCTGCTGGTTCTAAATATAAAAATTACACTATAAAATTAATTTTATATTTTTAGACTATAGCAGTAATTTGCATTGTAAAATAGATATTACGTTTAGGATCGAGTGGAGTAATAAACATCTTTCCCATTCAGCTCGCAAGATTGGTAGTATTTTAAATTTTTTTCACGGATTTTGTGTAGCATTTGAATCAATATGCTGTCTAAAAATACGAAAAAGAATTGAATGAAATGTATGAAAAAAAAAAAAGAAGAGAGTATGGAAACTCTCACAACTTAACAAATAATTTTTAAAAAAATATTTTCACGTAAGTTAAGATAAAATTCCCCTTATATCTTTACCTTGAACACCATAAAATTACTTTAAAAAAGCTAATCCAAATACTTAAAAATGAAATAAAAGTGGTTGAAGTTTTTGTAGTCCAAATGACAGCAATCATTTTCCTGAATTCCAATTCAAGCTCTCTGTGAATGATACGTAGTCATGACAAAAAATATCCACAACTCAATGAAAAACTCACGATCATGACTTGTAAATAATATTATTTTTAAATACCACATACATAACTGTATTTGTTACCACTCTATAACCAAATGATATTAAGGGTTTATTTAGAATAAATAATAACATTTTTTTAATGGTGATTTACAAAATACGAGGTGTGTATGTAAAAAAAAATCTGTTTCGATCTACATGAAACGCTATTTATATACGTGATTTTAAATAAGTACCAAAATATTTTTAAAATTTTTTTAAACATAAGATTGTAACTTTGATTTTTTTTTTGGTAAAGAGTATAACGAGTGTGAGTTATGACAATATACTCATATTTATTTACTTATATACACGTGTGTGTGTACATGGAGTTAATAATGGCGAGGAGAAATTGGAAGGGAGAGGTACATCCATTTTCTAGGGCATCCATGTATCGTCCCAACTCATGACTCTTTTCCCAATACTAAAGGCTTTCTTTTTTAGTTTTTTATTGGAAATACTAAAGGCTTTTCTTTTCCAAGCCTAACAAGAATCCATCCAAAACCAAAATCAAAAATCCTCTTAACTCAACCCTCAAGTTAAATATTAACCAGGGTTATTTATCCGCAAAACCAACTATATATATATCCACCATGGCCCCAAGCGTTTTCTTTCATCAGCAAACCCTAATAATTTTTCCAAAATCATTTATCTTCTAATCTCCTCTTTACAGTTTACACCTCAAAAAGAAAAAATATTTAGGGGGCGAAAAATGGGAAGTTGGGAGAAAGCCAAGGGCCAAGGTCAAGGAAGGTCCCAAAAGAGTCATTGAAGAGAGCCCCACTCAAAATTTTCTCTACACTCTGGTACGTTTTCTTTTCTTTCCAATGAAATTTTTTGGATTTTGAAGAAGAGGGTCTGTATCTGTTCAAAACTTGAATTTTAGCCCCTCGTCCCTATGTCTCTTTACCTATTACTTTCTGCAATTAAGATACATGAGAGCGCGGGACATCGAAAATTTTCCCGGAGATGGGGCGGGGGCTTCGAAAGCCCTAGCTAGATCCCAGCTTTCCCGCCAAAACCACCCCATTTTCGGGCATAACCTTGCTTCTCAATCGGCTCCATTTATCTTCATTTTCTCACATGAGGTGTTTGCATGTCTAGTCGTAGTTTTGCTGTTTCTGTGATTCTTAAGTATCGTGCGTGCTTCGATGCTCTAAATGTTCGAGAAAGGAAAAGGGTCATTAATCTGTTTTCAGGTCTTGAATTCGGCGCATATGATAGGACAGAGGATGGTCTATGCCTGATTATGGGCTTGCTGTATATATTGGTTAAAACCCCACGAATGCTTTAACCAGACGGATTCTCGGTCGTTCTTGAATCGGTTTCTGAAGGGCGTGATGTCCAAGCTGGAGGAGAACTAGATAGCAGTGGTTTTTAAGCTTTATCTGGTAAGCTCCGGTTCTGTTGCGATCAAGTTTCTTATTGGTTTTTGAAAGAGAACTGCCCCCGACGTACGTCCTCAATGCTTGGTAATGGGAAATCAGTGGATTTGTATAAGCTCTTCAAGGTTGTTAAGGAGAACGGTGGGTATGACGCAGTCTCCAAAAACCGTTTATGGGATCTGGTGGGTGAAAAATCTGGGTTGGGTACGAGCATTGGTTCATTTGTGCAACTGATTTACAATAAGTACTTGATTACTTTAGAGATATGGCTAAAGCAAGCTGCTGATAATAAGGTCTCTGACTGTAGTCTGGAGTTTAACAGAGTTGATTTTGGCAGGCATTTGATGGAGTTGCACGCAGAATTCGAGGGGTCCTTGTCGGACTGTACTGATGAAGAGTTGGGAGATGAGATGTGTCAACGTTCTGAGTTTAAAACTGAATATGAACGCCAGGATGGTGGGGTGTTGTTCGATGCTAAGGGAGTGAAGAGCAGGTCTGGAGGGGCCAAAAAAGTTCAGAATGGAGGATTTATTGATTTAAATATACCAGGATTTGACTTGAATGAACTCGCAACAACAATTGAGTTGAATGAACTCAGTCCAGGAAATTTGTGCATTAAGAGTGAGGTAAACAAAATGCCCATATTATCGGATGGAGGCATGAAATGTGCCAATGATGATGATATTTTGATATTGGACCCATCTGATGTAAATGAAGAGAGCTTCAATCGTAAAAGGAAGAGGGAGTCTATGCAGGGAATGCTAAACTGGTTGACTGGCATTGCAAAGAATCCCTGTGATCCTGTTGTTGATTCGATGCCTGAAAAATCAAAGTGGAGGTCTCACACCAACGAGAAGGTCTGGAAGCAGGTTTTATTGTTTCGGGAGGCTGTTTTTCTAAAGCGACATGCTGATTCAAGCAGTGAACAACTGAATTGGCAGGTACTATGGAAAGTACTGCATGTTATTGTTATCAATTAATTTTATTAATATACCAATTAAGATGAGGCTTGTTAACCTTAAATTGCTTCCGTATTAGTATGTGTTGTATAATTAAATGTATTGGCTGTATATTTATGAGCTTCCATCTAAAGGATTTTTGCACATGTGCATGTTTCTTATCCTGCTTATGCATCTTGATGTCTTCACACTGTGGATGCACAGTCATCCATAATTATTTCCCTATTCATAGTGTCCGTGGCCTAAGATTGTGATTAGCTAGTATTTTCACTTGTAATTGCGGACTCCCATCCCTTTTGGTCCTCAAATTTTCACTTGCAGCTTTTACTGCCTTGACAACCTGAAGAAATTCATTGTTTTGTCGAGGGCTATGACGGTTGGCTCTAGTTGGCATACTACAGAAACACATTGACATAATGTTTCAAAACTTGCAAGCGCACACCACTTGCAAGCACGCCTGCACATGTAAACATCTTGTTTGGTGTTGTTTAATCTGCTGCTCTTCGTTGTGAATAACATTTCCATTTGTTCAACTAACATAAAGCACATTTGCGAACTTAAATAGTGCAATGGAAAAACCAGAACTGGATGGAGGAGGAGGAAGAGGAAGAGTTATGGTTCATGTGATTCATGTATGCAACAAAAAAAAAAATTTGGAAAGAACTTTATTTATCTCATCCATGCTGACCTCTTTGTTAATGCCTTCCTGTTTCTACCCTTGGACTCCGTCACCATGAGGAGTTAACATCATTGTACTTATATCTGGAAACAAATAATGGCTGGATTCTGGTGTTTTCACTTGTTCTTTGTGCTTTTTCTTTGACATTTTCCTTTTGTTGACTACTACTTATTTTACCATCTTGTTTTCTTTTTTAGTATTGCACTGATTGATGTACAACAAATGAAAGAATATGGGCGGGAGGAGGGAGAAATAGATAGAAAGAAGAGAGAAAAGGAAGAAATTTAGGGAGAAAAAGAGAAGATAACTAATGTAAAATGGTGTTTATTTTTCCTAATTACAAATTGAAGTCTTTTCTGCTACTTCGTAATACCTTTGACATGCACGTAAGTGATTATAGTGGTGGGGAGTATGCCAGAATTTTCATAAAATTATAGCAAGCTCGTGTAGTTAAATGTCATGGATATCGTGTACAGATTTATAAGCCCTTAATTGGCTCGTAATATTTATAGCCAAGCTATTTTGTTATGTGAGTAAAGATTTTAATTGGAAAGGTTTACTTACATTAATTAGTAAGTATTAAGGATGCTGCTACCATCTATACCTAAGCTGGTTCTTAATAGGTAGGCTATATCTTTAATGTATTTTTCTAAAGTTGACGCTTGAATATTTGGTCAAAACTAACATCCTTTTGAATTTATTTTTAAATTAGAATAATCTTTTGACTTTGCAGAGACAAAAGATGCATCCATCTATGTATGAAGATCACCTTGAGGCAACGTACAATCTTAGGGAGAGGTGGAAGTGTGCCAAGAAGCTTATATTTGAAAAATCTATGTCTGCAAGAGTCTCTTCAGATTCATCCATTGAAACCAAGGGTAATCTGGAGAAAACTTCAAGTCCTCACAATGAAGATTCTGCTGAGAAAGAGCTGCCTGATTCCTCAAGTGCGCCATCGGGTATTGACAAATGTGGCATAGTTCCCATCCCTCTGGGGCCAAGTCACCAAGCTAAAGTACCAGAATGGACTGGCATGACTTCTGAAAGTGATTCCAAGTGGTTGGGGACCCGAATATGGCCATTAGAGAAAGTGAATCACAGACTCCTGATTGAGAGGGACCCCATTGGCAGGGGAAGACAAGATTCATGTGGCTGCCAAGTACCAGGTTCTGTTGAATGTGTCAGATTTCACGTTTCCGAGAAAAGGGCTAAGGTGAAGCTGGAGTTAGGTGTGGCTTTTTACCTGTGGAATTTACATAGGGTCGGTGAAGATGTTAGGCAATCATGGACAGTGGATGAAGAGAAGAAGTTTAAGGATGTGGTGCGATCAAATCCTCCATCATTAGAGAGATACTATTGGGATCATATTTTTAAAGCCTTTCCTAAGAAGACCAGGGAAGATTTAGTTAGCTACTATTTCAATGTCTATCTTTTGCAGCGCCGAGGATACCAGAACAGGAGTACTCCAAATGAAATTGATAGTGATGATGAAGAATCAGAATTTGGACCCTTGAGGAATGTTTTTGGACAACAAGCACAGAAGCCAGCCAGTTCCATCTTACTAACCCCCAAAAAGTCTCAGACAAAGAACAAATAGTGTGAATGTTGGCCAAATCAGGAATTTATTTTAATTGTATATTTTGAAAATTTTGTTTCTTCACTGCAGCAATCATTGGTATCTGGATCTTTCTGTTTTGAATTTGCACTGATAATTGCTTGTGGAGTTAAAGATTGAGACGCAAGGTTGTTAATGTCTGGTGCATTTTCGAGAAATGGGGTGCCTGTGATGGATGTGGCCGACTGTGAGGATTTGACCAGCTTAGCAATTGGAGACTGGAGTTGCTGTTAGTTTGATTGCTTCCGGATTTTTAAATATACTTTTTGTCCATTCACAACGACAAAATCACAGGTAATCAAAATTGCATGTTTCCAATTTTTTCACCTGGTTCTTTACTACAAGGTCTAAGTTAAAACAGAGGCCTTAGAGGAATATAGAGTAGAATTTTATTGTAGAGGATCATGGATAAGAGTACAGCTAGTGTATTTCAATTTGCGGCCTTTCATCTGCACAACGCTCGTTCAAGTTTTTCATGTTTTCACAATGTGCTATTGAAATGGTTTTGGATCAGGAATCTGCAGTTTCCTCTGCTGATTTCTTGTGTTGACTCATCTACACATGCTTGGGCAAATATATCAGATTTTTTCAATCACAATAAGCAATATGCAAAGAAATTGTCACTTTTTATCTGTTAATCTGATTGAAAAACATGCTCTTTTCATACAAATTAAAATGCAATTTTGCCAGCAGTTGATACTGATTGAACCAGGCCTTTAATTTAGGAATTGAAATAAAATTAGCTTTTAAAATTGTCAGATTCTTGTTTAACAAATGGAATTTTGAAGTAGATTTACATTAAAAGAAGTAAAATAACATTAAATTTTAAAATAATACTTATTAACTCAAATAAATTTTAGTTGAGGCATATCAAATATAATAAATTAAAATTGAATAAATAAGTTAAACTTAGCTATAAACCTTATTAAACTTGAATATGAACAACTTCACTAGCAAACGTCTTTATTATACTGGAAGACTTTTAATTCGAAGTGAATGATGTTTCAAATTCTAGTTGAAAAATTATAAAATAAACAAAAATAACATTTCACATAAACTAATCTAAAAGTATTAAAATTTAAGGATAAATGTGTAATTTCACCTTATTTTGCTTCTAAGCACAAGCTAGCGGGTAGGGTGGCATCGAACTCGTATGCCAGTGTCACAAAAGGTAACTTCGGGTGCCACTTGATTTAACATTGCGACTAAACCCCATTACATTTAGATGACTTTCTTTCATTTGTCAATAAGAGTTAGTTTAGTTTTAGGAATCAGTTCATAATTTACAAAATCATGAGATTGTCTCACTTTTAATATGCGGACTTTGTCAGTAAAGAATCTGTAAATAGTTTTGTAAGCATTCTTTTCAGTTTTCTTTTTTTAGAAAAAAATTGCATTCAGATGGTAGGGCAGGTTTTCCTTTCCTTTCCTTTCCTTTTAATTACACCAAATACGCCGTAAAAGTTGAATTCACGGTCTGACAAGACAAAATTATGAAAATGCCAATATGCAGCTATTGGCTGCCTTTGGTCAGAGCAAAGAAAAACAATTGGCTAACTTCTTTTTATTCTTTATTTATTATTTGGAAATAAATAGAAGTGCAGCTGTGAAGCATATATATTATATACACAAGTGAGTGAAAGAAAGATATATTTTATTATTTTGTGGACTCTAAAGCCTTGGCCATCATAATCTGCCACACCATTTGCTTCATCAACTGGCTTTTTACGTGCTATACAGCCTTTGGCTTTGTACATATTTTGATAAATTCTGGCTTAAATGATTTTAAATATGAGACTAAACACACTTTTTGATTAATGTTTAACATTTTTTTTAATGCTTTTTCAATTGCGTTTTGAATCTCTGTATGACAGAGAATCGAAATATAAAGTGAAGAAATATGTCGTCATTGGTTATTAGTTTCCTTTTGATTTTGATTGATGCAAAGGAAAAGGGAAAATTGATTGGAGCTACCTCATCTGAAAAGGACCCATTTGAAATTTTCAATCTGGGAGAGAAGCTTTACAAAATTTCTTTTTCATTTATCACACAACTAGATTGTATAGCTGGATGATGATAAAATGAGAGAGTGGAGTTATAAAATTTTATTTAAAAAAATGAAAGATGAAAATACAATCTAAGTGCCCGTTTGGATTAGCGATTAGAAAAGTAGCTTGTTGTCAATTTGACTTTTGAAAAAGTGAAGTTAGGTAAAAGTTAAATTGGATAAGTTGAATTGTGTTTGGATTGGAGTTTAGAAAAGTTGATTTGTAAAAGTGAGATTGGTAAAAAATTGTTTGGATTATGACTGAGTAAAAATAAGTTTGGTTGTAAAATGACCAAAATGGGTATGAGTTTTAATAAATAATAAAACATGATTAAAAAAAGTGATTTCACATAATACAATAAAATTAAAATAATTTAATATGAAGAAGTTAAATTTAAGAAGTCAAATTTCATATCTAGTTGGCCTCCAGCTTCTCCCTTGTGTTCTGCTTGCCGTGAAAAATCAGAAGATGAATAGTGCCTAATAAGTCTCGTCGGCCACCAGAAAAAGGTTCAATCAGTGAACTCTCCCCTTCCAATCGGAAAGAGATGATGATCACTGCTCCCAAAATCACCTTAAAAGCACGATTTCATAAGTCATAAGCCGGATGATTCTACTTCTTCAATCGGGCTTAAAAATTACAGCTTTTGGCCATAAGTAAGATTGAACAAAAGCTGAACCAAATATCTCACTAAGAAGTCAATCGTGCTTATGCCTTCAAAAGCTACTTAATCAGTGCTCAAATACTGATCCAAACAGGGCCTAAATCAATTGAAAACTTTTAATTTCAGTTCTCTATTTTTTTCAAATTAAACTCCTTAAAAATCTTCTACAATAAATTGGTATGCAATTGAATAGATAAAAAAATGATTTAGCTGCCATGTTGTTAAATATTTATTATTGAAAACTATATGCTAATAAGAACATCATTAGCGTTTACCGGTCAAATATTTCTAAGAAAAATGTTTTCTATTTTTTCAGAATAAGTACTCAAAAGTTTAGCGCCACGCCCGTCTCGGATTCTTGCAAGCGGCACAAAACGACAGCATACTGTGTCGTTTGATTCGGATTCTTTGTCTTTTCAAACGGAAAAAAGACATTAGTATGTGACATCATTTGTGTTTTGAATTTTAGTTCAGAATTTTCAAATTTATTATGATGTCAGATTTAAAAATGGATTGTGCCCAACATACGGACGCGCATTTCAGTAAACTGATCGACATTTGTATATCAATTTAATTTGAATTATAAACTAAATCTTTTATTACGGATCAAAAGTGATATTTTATAATATATGATACAAAATATAAAGAAATTTTTATTAATAAGAATACAGTATAGTGAAAAAAAATTAGTTTTTGATGACATGATGAATTAATATTCAAATTTTTTTTAGAAGCCGGGAAAGTGTTTATATTGACTAGACTAACTGAGCTAGCACTGTTTTAATATCATTGACGAATAAATTTCATTATATTAAGAATGTAAAAAGGAAAATGCAACGGAAAACCTTAAATTTAATGGCACCTGATGTGGCTTTGGAGTTCAATCCGTGGTTGGTGCAGAGATTGAATGAATTCAATGAGGACTGGCAGGCGAAGGCGTGAACGTCACAATGGAATGGCGTGAGGGGCACGTAACAACCTCAACTTCAATTGGGATTTGTTTGGATTAACAATTTACATAAATTAAGATAAATTTCGTCTTATATATTTATTTCGCATTTCATAAATCATGTTTAAAATGTTATTTATAAGTTATTTTAAACAAGTTTTTAATTTTTTCATCATCTTCTCCTTCGTCTTTTTTTTTAACATTTATAAATTTTGAATTTTTTACTTCCACCCCACCCCCTCGTATCAATTCCACAGACCACAATTGAGTTCGAATAAATTTTTTAATTTTAAATTATTTTTACTTTTCAAGCACGTCAAAAGAAAAAAAAAAAAAAAAAAGGAGTTAGGCTGCGAGTCTATTTCTATGGCGGATTTAAATCAGGTCTACGTAAAAACAGCGTGGGTCGAACCTATATACCGCCCGTTGACTCATTAGACCACAATTATTGCACATATATTGCTATGATTTTTTATATTAATATAAAATTTAACTAACTAACTTAATTAGATAAAAAATTAAGTAAGTTAGTTAATTATAAGAAGTATGACATATATTTTCTAAAACACCATAATCGTCTTTCTTAATATCCTTATTCTTTCTTCTACTTGATTATGGTGAAGAGAATATTAATAAAGATAATTTAAGAAAAACTAATAAATATAAAAAATAAGTTTTACATTTAGAATTAATATCAACTCAATAATTAGGTCACATATTAACGTTTTTCAATCCTTAATATAGGACCCAATTATTGAGTTGATTTTGGTCCTAAATATAAGATTCATTCTCATATTTATCAATTTTATCTAAATTACCCTTATGGATACTTTCTCAACCACAATCAAGTAGAAAAGGAAGAGGGAGTATTAAAAAAGATTATTATAATATTTTAGAAAAAACGTGTCACATTTCTTATAATTAATTAACTTACCTAACTTTCTTAATTTAATTTAATTAGTTAAATATGTATTATATCAAGGACCGGACAAGTTCATAGTTAGGCCAAGTGGGAGTGACTTAATTTATAAATCTTGTAAAAATAATTAACAAAAATCACGTTAAAGAAAACAGAAAAACTTGTAAGCGGTGAGATCGTGGTGGGAAGAACCGACAAAAGAAGCCAAAATCAGTGACCTTTTTTTCCTTTTTGGTGACTTTCAGAATCAATGAGCTTACGGAAAAGCTAACAAATTGCCATATGTGAGGAGATTAATTACACAGAATGAATAATGAACAATGTGGGGTGCGCCATACAGAATTAAGGATAAGAACAAGAAAAGGGAGGCGTGATTAAAAGAATTCAGCATGATTAGAGTTTGTATTTTATTAGGCCCTTACGATAAATAATTCCTTTCTTTATTTGAATTAGACTCCCAAGTTACTCAATCTGAGAATAAGTTAAATTTGAACTGTACACGACACGTTATTCTGTACAAATCCATCCTCACAAGTCTCCCTCATCCATATGCTTAATTATACCAGGTGAACTAAGCTCTTTTCTTAACTCTAAAAAAAAAGAAAAAAGAAATAAGCTCATTTATTATAATTATTTTTACCATATGTTTAAATCTTCTAAGATAATCATCTCAATGCCACATTACACAAATTTTTTAGCACAAAATATGCAAAATCCAGAGGCAGAATAAATAGATGGCAATTAATATAAAGAGGTCTCAAGATTAGAGGCATGGCTAGTGAAGTGCAAGTGAATATGAAAACAAGGCATACAAACATTTGTACTGAGTTTTTATATATTCATTGGCTCAAGGCTTTTATATATTCTAAACTGTATTGGAAATGCTACTTTTAATTGTACATAATAATTCTTGAATTTATATAATTTTCATGAACAAATTTGATTACAGTAGGTTGTCATAATTAATAAAGTGTTAAAGTATAAATCTGTCTAAAAACTCTTACTCAAAAGTATTGGGCAATCAGAAGTTTTTTAGATACAAATTTACTCATACAATTTAAAATTTAATCGTTAAACTAGTTATATTGATGATTAACACTTTTAAAAATAAGAAGCAACATTATTATAATTTGAAATTTTTGGGCTAAATTTACACTTCCCATCCCATTCCCATTAATAATTCATGAACTATATGTCCTTTTCTCTTGTGCACAACTTTTTTTTTACTGTTTACTTTTTTCTTCACCTATTTTATTAGATCATGCAGCTTTTTTTAGAATAAAAAATAGTTCAGTACAATTTAAATGCTGAGAAAATAAACAAAAGCTTTTGAAAGCTTTTTGTATAAACTCACGATATAAAATGTTTAAGGCGCCAATGTACATTTTCCATTCAAAAAAAAAAAAAAAACCAAAAACGACTTGTACGTATCTAAGACTAATCAGTCAATCATACTGTAAATAGCGCCAATTAGGGTTCCACAGAGTCAAGTGAACACCACAGGAGAAGGCTGTTAATTTTTGGCAAAGAGGCACCATTGGGAATTGAGAAGGAGGAATCTTGGAAGTACAGGGCATTGTAAACAGTCGTAATAAAATAATGTGATTGGACCTAATCGGAAATCTATAATTCTCCATTATTATTATCTCTTCCTAGTTTTGCTGATTGTTGTCTGAATCAATTTTGCTCCTTCCAGTTTCAAAAGCCAAGGTCTCCCCTCCTCCATCGCTCTTCTTCATCTTCTCAACCTCACCCACAACAGCCGAGGAAGCGAAAATTATCGCAGAACAAAGATGTCTTCTCCTAGCAAGCGGCGAGAGATGGACTTGATGAAACTGTTGATACTCTTTTTTTTTTAATCTTTTTATTTCTGATTTTTCTTCAATTTTGATTCTAGTTTCTTGTTTTGGTTTCTGATTTTGGACTTCTATTTTTTCTTTCAAGGATGATGAGTGATTACAAGGTGGAGATGATCAATGATGGAATGCAAGAGTTTTATGTCCATTTCCATGGACCTAATGACAGTAAATTCCCGTCCTTGTATCTTCTGTTTCTTCTTTCGGCGGTTGGTGTATAGAGTATTTGGCTCGCTGGGCTCCCTGCTTGTTTTCGCTTTCTGGATATTAACTATATGACCATATATGGGTGGCGGCTCTCGATTTAGATTTGGGTTGCAACAACATGATGCAAAGCAATCTTTGTCAGTTGCTTATGATTTCCTTCCCATTTGCTATTCCGGTATTCTTAATCCAAAAATTGCAACAATTCTTAGCCAAATAAGTATTGGTATGAGCTAGAATTTTTTTTTTTTTGGGGGGCTGGGGGGCGGGGCGGTTCTGTGTATCCGCACCAACTTCTGATTAGCTCTTTGCTTGATGTTCTGTTCTGTTGAACTGAATCCAGCATTTTAGAATTTGAGTTAATCCATTTTTCTTGTCTCATGGAGCCTTTTTCAGTCATCCTTTAATCCTTGTGATGGCTTCTCTCAGGTCCTTATCATGGTGGTGTTTGGAAAGTAAGAGTTGAACTGCCTGATGCTTATCCCTATAAATCACCCTCCATAGGCTTTGTCAATAAGATCTATCACCCAAATGTTGATGAGATGTGAGCATGTCTAAATTCGACACTCTGAAACTCTAATGAATAGATCACCTTTTTCTCTATTTTAACAGTAAACTAGTTCATGTCTGACTGTTTTGGATAACTTTAATTTCAGGTCCGGTTCAGTTTGTCTGGATGTTATCAATCAAACCTGGAGCCCCATGTTTGGTATTGATCTTCAATAGGTTTTCTGAGAAAAGTGTGGCTACATTTTAATTTTCTATTTAAAGATTGTTGTTCCCTGACAAACGTCAAATCTTGTTTTCTTCCAGATCTTGTTAATGTGTTTGAGGTATTTCTACCACAACTTCTCTTGTATCCCAACCCATCTGACCCCCTGAATGGAGAAGCTGCAGCTTTAATGATGCGCGACCGAGCTGCTTATGAACAAAGGGTTAAAGGTATTGATCATTTATAAAGATTTAGTTTCTGGAATATTCATCTCTTCTTATGGGCTTGTTCTTTGGTGAGGATTACAAACTTGCTGTGTTGCTTTGATTACAACCTGAGAGCTTAGAGCTAAGACTATTATGTTCTTCGCAAATTTTCTTTCTTTCACCCAAACGTTGGTTATGAGAAAATTCTAAAACCATGGAATACCATTGAACTAACTTTTGAGGCCTCAGAAGGATAGAATTAGACTGCTTTGATCATTTAACAAATCAGATACAGTTCAGTTCAGATGTGCATAGCTCCAGGGACAAATGCTAGTAAATGCATAAACATTAAATGATCATTCGTGTATGATTGTTGAGGACATATGATTAACAGAAAAGCTGTTGCTACTTTTTGTTGATCGCCTCCATTATAGACCTCACCTTCTTGTGGCCTTCGCTGCCAGAATTAACCATCATGTGCCACTGGTATTTTGCCACTGCATCATGGCATCCTGAAATTTTGAGAGATATGAGCTTTGATGAAAGGAGTAGGAAATGGCCCCATAATGAACCTAATAGGAAAGCTTATTTTAGTATAGTAGCAACTTCAGTGACGATTAAACAGAATAGTTGATGGATGATGATGTGAAGCTTCTTATGATTTAGTGGATGAGCTGATGCTCAAATCCTATTTTCTTGCCCCTTTTATTATTATTATTAATTTATTTATTTATTTTGTAAGTTGCACTCTAAACCAAATTTGTGCAATTCGCTTATCTAGTTCAAGCTTTTGCATAATTTGTTTTGCCCTCTTTAGTTTATATTGACACAGTATCTTATGAATAAGATTATCCTTGCGACTGTCTGTTCTATTGCATCACGAAGGAAAACTTTGTAATAGGGTTATTTTTCGGTGATGGTTCTCTTGCAATTTGTAATTAGCTGCTTCCCCCGGCACCCCTCAGATTCAAACAATCAAAAACCACCCACACCACACACACACACACACACACACTATCCACGCCCACATGTTTGAATGTAAGGTGCTGCTGTTTTAAACGTGCCACAATGACATGTTCCATAAATTAGATAGCATCATGACAGTACACATGATCTTGAGGTGCATCTGTTTCAGTTCATTGTATAATCGTGTCAGTTTTCATAACAAAAGCTATATCATCACGGGATATGAAGGATTAGTCAGGACTCGCTTGTTATAATTGAAATTGTGAAGGCTAAATTGAACACAAGAATAGAAAACGGGGATCAATCTCCTCAACTCTCAAAGGAGAAGAAGAGGAAGAGAAAATTAAGACTCAGGCAAAAGTTTCAGGGGGAAGAGAAACTTTTACTCTTGAAGCATAGCTTACTTTTTGGCTTACCATTTGTTATATTCACGGGTGGAACTCAAAATTATATCTGTTCTGCAGACACACTGATAGAGATTCGTCATCCGTTCTATCGAATGGTAAGGTCTATGTTGTGCAAGAATAAACACTTGCCAGCAATGTATGTGCTCAATTTACCCGTGAAAGTAGGCTTTCCCGCTTTTCACTATATGTACAGGAGCGACTTTCTTTTAGTAATAACCATGTGCCAAGCAACAAGCACTTGTTCATGTGAATAGAAGTGTTGATATTTTTTCTCCAGCTTGGTTAGGAAACCTCTTATCTCTTGTCACTGCATTTCACGAATGAATGTAACAAATCTGAGTTTGTTTATGAAAATAATTTCTAATTCCAATGTTTTTGGCAAGATCATGTCATCTTCACCCTTTTCATTTCTAAGCATCTTTTGGTTCCTAGATCGTTGGTCATTATTATCTACTGTAGGTAAAGAGGCAGTTGAATGACTCGTGAATCGTGATGTTTTTAATTCACATTTAACAAGTATTCAGCGATCAGCATTCTTGTTTTCAAAGGAGCTCTTGGAATTACTTCTCACTAATTCTGACCATGATGCCTTGCTCCTTTTTTTTTTTGGGTTGGGGGGGGGGTTGTTTATTTTGGGTGGGTTCTTCCGAAACCCATTTTCTGTATGGTTTCGGTTAGTACATCGGAAACCTTTGTTCTGAATTTAACATTTTACTAATGTTTATGAGTTCATTGTTCAGAATACTGCGAGAAGTATGCGAAGCCAGAAGACATAGGAGCTGCTGCGGAAGAGAAATCCAGCAGTGATGAGGAGCTGAGCGAAGATGAATATGATTCCAGTGATGAACAGGTGGCTGGTAAAGCTGACCCTTAGCCACATAAGCCTGCTCTGTTATTCGTTGTGTCTGTATTTTATCTGTACATGATGTTCTACTTCTAATTAATCCCATCTCAATTCTCATGTAATGAACTTGATTGTTGACAAGGGGGAAAAAGTTTCCCCTTTCTCTTGGTTTCATGTCTCTGTAAATAATGTACCATTCATTTCCTGATGCAATATTTTTCTTCTCTTGAACTATTTTCAAGTGCATGATATTGATACGATGGAGTTGTGCTTTGAGCCTGATAGTAAGCAATATGTTCAAACATGCTTGCGAAAGGTTAAAAAAAGCTTATTTTGCACTCTGATCTTTTAAAACAATTTTCGTTTTAATTTTTTTGACTACTACTTGAACGTGATTATTGAACTATGCTGGAAGAGATGGATCACATTTGGTCCTACTGTTTGGCGACAATGAATAATAGAATGAATTGTAAGGTGAATTTATTAAACGAGAATAGTTTTGAATTCGAATCCTTAAATGGCGCCAAGGAAACTTTAATGATAGCCATAAAAGGTAAATAGACCTAAATTCATGCAAAAGTTTGAATATCAAAAGAATAAATAATAATATAGCCATAAAAAAGAACTCAGCTACTCATTCGTGAGAAAACATCTAGTTTTGAAATAAAATAAAATCAAGACATTCAAATATTGATATTCATGTTATTGGAGTAACAGTGCGCTGACTTTTTCAATGCAGTAGATAAAATCCCAACGAGAAAGATGTTTGAGATCTTAATCTTGGCCTCACGCGTGAATAAGAATTCCGGCAAGATGTTATGAGAACTTGTCCAATAAGTAGCTTGGGTGACAGAATTCCAGCAAAATTCTTCTCTTAAAACGAATTTTAAAAAAAAATTAATTTGTCAATTCCTAATTCCTGCTATCATCTTACTGAATTTCAAATAAGATCTCTATGCTTTTTTTTTTCTTATTTTTTGTAATTGGATTCTCAATTTCACTGTTAAAGACACCAGTTAAACAGTTTATAAATCTTCCTGGGGCAAAGTGTGAATGCACTCCTGATATTAAGGACGCAAACAGACAAATATTGTTTTGTATATTACAAAAAATCACAACCAATCCCTTGTTTTTTTGAATGAATTACATGTCAATCCCAATTAAAAAAATTTAGTTACCCAAAAATTAGGAAAAATTTCAAATTACTAAATCCGAAATTAGATTTGATAACAATATATTAATAATTTTTGATAAAATTGAATTTGTAAATAATAGCATATTTTTGTTGAAATTTCTTATTTAAATTTATCAATTTCAAGCTTGTTTTTGTGAAATTTTTTTAAAAATCTTAACCTCTTGTAAATATAAATTGAAGTCTGACTAGTAAATGGGAATGAAAAAATAATTAATTTTCTCATTTGGACATGATTGTAATTTTACCCTTCTTAACACGTGATGGTCCTTCCGCTAATAAGGTTACGATCAGCATCGTCGGACCATCCGGGGTCCCCTCTCTGTATTCCTCGCCGGACAGCTCTCGCTCTACTGCAATGTTGACCTTGGTCCGACGGTATACCCACATTATCTGATTCGGATCCTTCTCTCCGATCAAATGCGATGCAGCTGATGTCTCTATGTCTTCGTTGGTTTCTTTCTTCGCCCAAAATTCTGGGCACCTCCTTAAATACACACATTACGCAAATCGATTAAGGTGTTATATGCAGGGTCAGACTTCTGGGCAGCGAACAGGGGAGAAGCAGGAGGGTTCAAAGAATGGTATTATATACGAGTGTGGGAAGACGAAAGCTGCAAAATTGGTTTCGGAGTGTATCTGTTTGTGCATGCTTGTGCGCATAATCAGGCTAATGGCTTATTCAGGGTCACATCATCCCCTATTCCCATAAACCAAAGACATCTGAAACATCCATTAACGAAGGAACAACCGTTTTAACCGTGTAGAGGGGAAAAAAACTGCCAGGCCTAATTTTTAATTTTTAAAATTTGGTGAAACTAAGCACTAGAAATTTAATCTTACGTACCCCAAAAAAAAGGAATTTAATCTTAAAGTCACCATTTCACTTTTCACATCTTAACTTTTAAAATATATTATATTATATATATTTTTAATGAATGTAACATTCAAATTGAAAGACATTTTGCCTACATTAGATAACTGATTTACCTGTCACTGAACCATTAATCCAAACTGAATTTCCACAATCATAACATGGTACACTGCAACTACTTCGTCAAACGGAGTGATTTGTGCGTGATCGCATCCAATTAAAATCTCAAGTATTCCATACAGACTAATAGATCAACGTAGCAACTGAGGCGCGTGAATGGTGGCTCTCAGTCAGTCATACAGGTAAACCCCCCCCCCCAAAAAAAAAATTCCTACCAGTGCTATCATTTTTTTTTTTCAAGAAAAAGAGTTATATACAGAAGCTTCAGCTATCTGAAGAGGAAGACAATACCTGCAAGCTGCAGATGCCCAGATTAAAAATTTGGAATATTATTGCCATTTAACTCGTTGAGGTAGCTGTAAACTGCAAACGGAGGCCTACTCCTATATCAACAAATTGGACTAAACTCTTGAAGGTAAAGACCACTAATTCACTAACATTTTATTGCATTTGAGAAATCTATAGATGGCTTGGTCTCCTTTTCCCAGAATCCGTCCTCAACCGCTTCACAGGATTCGCCCAGCCGGCTGATCCACCAGATCCGTTAGGTTGTTGAGATGGCTGGCGCTTCCACCCTTGAGCTTGCTGTTGAGCTAGTCTAGCATCCTTTGAACCTGAACTTGGTCCTGGACTTCTTATAGCAGGACCAGAGCTAGGTGGTGAAACAGGACCAGCTGAGCCACCCCTAGTCTTCCCTGAGGATTTGTCCCTCTCATTTCTTCTCTTCTTACATACTACCAGTTCACCTGGATGAGTGAGTAGCGGAGAATCATCCTGCGGGATTTGCTCTCTGGCACTGTCAGAAGCTGTTCCAGTTCTTGAATCCTTAGGTGGCAGATGCACTCTGATCCTGGTGCTTTCACCACTTGGAATAAAACCCCGATGCGGTTGCTTCTGTGAAGGGCTTGAATCATTTTCAACCTCATTTATCGGCTTGTGTCTTCTGCTTTGGCCAACAGCCAATTGCCTCGGGGATGTTAGAGTACTGACAGAAGTCGGTGCAGCAAAAGAAAGTGCACTTCTTGGCCCTTGGAAGTCCATATCAGGAAATGCAACCTTCAAGATATCAAAGAAGAGATCGTGGACCTTCCTTGCTTCAGATCTAACCTGTGTGAATCATGATCACCTATGAGAACTTCATACATTCAGAAAGATAGGACTTAAGAGTGTGAAATCTAGCGGGCACAGTTATAATAAGTACTCAATCAATACCCCAAAAATATCCCAGTCTCACGATTAACATTCAATAACAATCTTCTGAAATATCAGTTATCACCATATTTGTTGTCTTTGCTCATTTAACAAAGGACTCAAAAATGAAATAAAACAGTAATCTCGTGCTTGAGTTAAATATTGAGATTCCTAAATTAACAAAGCATAAACCTGAGCAATGAACTTTACACAACCTATAAGCATCACTCTATTCAATAACATGTAAATGATGAGGTGCTGACTCCATACATAATCTCGTTATTTTATGTCGCCATCTCTTTGAATGTAAGAATTCATGAATATAGTGGATCCAATTTGAAAACAATTAGGACGGAAAATTCAAAAAGTAAGCAATATGGAATCTCAGCAGCAGGAGCAATTTGTTCATCTTTAGATTCCATTTACAATGATTTCTTAATTCATTCTTAAATTTTTGCTTTAAAAAATTGACATGCTTTCTACTAAGCGTTACGTGGGTGTCCGTCTGAAAGGCCACAAACAAGAACCTAAACACAGGTAACTGGGCCAATCATGTCGGGAGAAATCCAAAAAGAAAACCAGACAAGCTCTCAGTCATATTCCAGAACCAGCTATTTTCCATCTTCAAGAGAGAATACCATATCAATTCCGCAAGCAAGTCCACTGGCTTCTACAAGAGGCCAAAATTTAAGCAAAAAATTTTGCACGGTGACAACAGATATGGAATCTAACCTCATGTGAGAACCCATAAAAATCCATCGCACACTTCAGCATGAACTGCACATCACAAACAAGCTCCAATACTCCATTATATTCAAACCTATCAATTCGCTGATCAATCTTCTGCATGTCCAACCAGTTCCCAAATCCACCGTTGTGTCCAGAATTCTTCTTCCACAAGTCAGTAAGCAAAGGCACAATTTGATGACCTTCCTTATTTATTCTCCTTTGAAACTTGCTAATTACATTCTTGCACTGCAAGAGCACAAATATGCATGAGTCTGCGTTACATGAACAAGAAGAAAAGCTCAAATGAATTATTATGCTTATTTGATGACCCTCCTTATTTATAATGCTTATATTCTACATTATATAATGAATTATTATAAATGAAGTTCAGAGCAATCATTATATTATATATCGCTCTGATTGACAGTTCCTGTGACCAGCAGTTATGCGAATTCCTTTTATGAAGTCACAGAAGGATCTCTTTAGTGACACGTACCTTTCTCTGGACCATTTCAGACATTTTAGCACCAACAGCTGAGGACCCACTTGAATGGAAAGGCTTACCCTCCCACTTTTCTCTGAGTTGTTCACCACCATCCTCTGAAGGAGCAGAAATGCAATTCAATCTACCAGATTTAGGTGAACCATGCAATTTATTATTTACTCTCTTTGAAGGCAAGCTTCGCTTATTTTTTATCGATGATTCATTCTGATCATGCCTGGCAGCATTAAATTCTCCACGTGATTTTACATCTGGGTCAGTCCGTGATTGTGCATGATATTTATGGTCTGCTTGGACAGTCAAATGAGCCAATTCTCCACGTTGAAGAGATGCCATCTCACTGCTAGACTTTTCCTCAACCCTGTCTGTAGCATGACGGGGTCGAACACGGCGACTGCGTTTACGTTTTAATTTGGGTTGCAAAACTTGCTCATCTTCTCCTTCATCACGATCATGAATCCAACTGCCAGATTGCTGGTGATCCATGTGAGAATCACCAGACACTGCAATTTCCCCTTCTTCTAAGTCATCTGTCTGGCAAATATTGCCAGAAAAAATATAATAAAAAAATTCAGAATGAGACAGAGAAAGCCAAACACAAAAAAAAGAGTTAAAAATTCAAAAAG